AGTGTTATTTATAAGACTTTGTTCGTTTATATTTTTGTCAATAATTGCTGAAGTTGTATATGCTAAATTTAAAGCAGGCCAGAGAGTTAGCTGTAGACCAATGGCTGATATCCAACACACTATTTTCAACTTTATTTAACTAGTTTAAAACTTTTCTATTCGAAATAACAAACACCAAGCTTTCTTAAAATGGAAAGTTCCCACTGGTTATTTAAAGCCTTAGAGAGTGTTAAGGTGGTGTAGTTAGGGAAACTTCCAAATAAAAGGTAAACAATGGAAAACGTGAGAGAGAACTGCTGTCCTTCTCCACTTTTGATGCATGTTATTAAGGAAAAGTTACTCAAATGTATGACGAATTCCGGGTTGAGGACATTTTATTCTATTAGTAGTATTCTTCTTATTTCTTAAACTGGTGATTTTCACATGCAATAGAGCAATCTAAATAAAACTATGATATCGGTTGAGCAATAAAATCAATACTTCTTATGTGCTATGTTCAAATTCTTGAAATTATCTTGATCAATCTGCCTTATATAATGTCAACTATTTATATGAAACAAGTAAGCACTTGTGACCAGGGCCGGATTAACCAAATGGCAGAAGGTTCGACCACCCACGGGCCGTGCGCTTTACTCAGTTCCACACGTTTTACTCAGTTCTATTTTTTTGCGAATTGGTGGACGAAAATAAGGCCCCAATGTCTAGGAATACGCTCCTCAGCTGGTTCACTAACACGCTTCGTTTTTTACCTTTATTTTACCGTGCATGTACAGACTTTTCCTGGAGAACAATCTGGAAACTGTATTTCCGAACACTAGAACTGCAATGCAGTTTGTCTTAGCCTCGTGATCTAGAACTGTTCTGGAGAACAGTCCTTTTCTAAACTTAATCTAATCAAAAATCAGCTCGGATCATGTATGACACATCAGCGATTAAACAGTCTTGTTCTAGTTAGCATTGAAAATGATCGGCTTCGTAGCATTGACATGTTACTAGTACATAGTTAACGAGTTTTCTCTAAAGAAATCACGGAAACACAGCATTTACAAAGCAAAACGAGATTTTAGTAAGAGATATGTTACAATACTTACATGCACATTTTGCATACATGTGAAGCAAGCATGCATCGCCGCATCTGGGCAAGTATACTGAATCTTATGAATGTTTAGTTGGTTTATTTTGTTTAATTTTCTATTTTTAATCAAGTTCTCTATTAATTATCAATTAATGTTATTGATATAAGCTGAGTTGGATGACAGTTAAAAATTTCAAATTCATGTACATACGTTCTTGTTTCAACATACGGATATTTTGCATATCATGCATGGTATATTATTGTTTAATCTTTCTGATTTCAGGACAATCTGAATTTCGGCCAGGCAGGGCGTAAAGAAGAGCCCCGCTCTGAAAAAATGCCACGGGCCACGCGAAGAGTTAATCCGACCTTCGTATCATCAAGATGCTGTTGTGTAAGCGCGAACTCATCTTCAACCGTTGCATTTACTGTTGAAACGTCGTTAATTTTATGAATTTTCAGCCTCCAAATAGAGAAACATGAGTTTTAAAAGATTTAGAGCCTTCTATCGACTGAAAAATTTTTAGAAATTGACGACTTATAGCTGCGCTACTATTAAATGGCCATGTTTGTTTATCAAATCTGACTACAAAAACCAAAATTCCTAGCGCGTTCAAGCTTATGTGACGTCATTATGTATAAGTTATTACCAGATTTTCATTCTGTTCTTCAGTATACTAGAAAAGTTAGCTAAAAAACTTAATGACTACAAGCTTAAAATTCTTGATGACCACTTTCCTGACTGACAGTGTAATGTTTTCCATTTTTTTCTAAATCTTCTAAATAATTTGAGCGAAAACTGTTTGTAACACGCTTGCAAGTCTCGAGGAATGGTTCTGGAAATAACACTTTTGTGTTTTTAGTTGTCATACTAGAAATTTCGTCACCTAAAAATAATTTTCATTGCATATATCGTTTGATACTAACCTAAATGTTTCTCCAGGCCCGATGGGTTTTTGAGTAACATTTGCAACACCGTCCATATAACCTGTGTTCCGTTGGTGCATACCATGCCAGTGGACCGAAGTGTCATTTTCTTCCAATTTATTGAATACATCAACGAGCACGTAGGTGTTTAAATTTACTATCAATGTTGGACCCATTTTCATTCCGTTAAAGTTGTACAGATTGCTTGTATCCTCTCCATCGTATACTGCGCTTTCGTTTCTTGTTATGGTTAAATTAATCATGCATTCGCCAATTTTGGTGCAATCACATACTGCAGGATGAACACCATTTTCTTGCTCACACTTAACATATTCACTTGCTCCGGCAATAACAAAGCAAACTTGAAAAGTGAATACAAGCAGAGAAACGGATAGTGACTTCAACCCTAATAAATATAAGAAATCGCTTCATCAAAAATCGGCGATATTGATCGAATAAGAACACTAATATTGAAGGTCATGAACATATAAAATTTAAAAAAAGTCAAAGATACGTGAAGTTGAGATAGGATCACACCAAATATATTTATTTCTACTTGAAAATAGTAAGTAGACAAAATCTACTTACTTGATACAATGCAAAATAAGTTAACGAAAATAATGCAAGTGCGCAACAAAAACCAATGTACTTTTTTACCAAAATTATATTATATCAATATCTGACATGCGGCGCTTAATAGGGAGTGGCGCTAAATAACTTTCCTGGATCCTGAATGTAGCACTTAACTGAGAGCAGCGCTTAAGTGGGAGCGGTGCTAAAACGAGCATCACTGTACTTACAAACGCCAGCCATTACTGCTCTTAATTACAATAATTAAAATTTACCGCTTGTAAAATGTTTTTGTTTTATTTGGCTCTTATGATTACTTTATTGATTAACTAGATTAGCAAGAGTGTTTTTAAAAACGCCTAAAAATGGCACTGGGATTCCGCTTTTTTCACTTGTATTTCCTACTTTTGCCCTTTAGCTACTAAACATTGCGATTGAAATTTATATTTTTTATTAAATATATTACAAAAGAAATCAATTGAGGGCTACAACTGAAGTTAAAAATAAACACGCCCGCCATAATTAAAGTTCAACAACCGTCCCCGGACGCTTTAACCTATCGTCATCCTATTGCCATTTGTTCTTCCAGTCTGATTTGAATGCATATCACGTGACTGTTCATACATTATGTGTGACATTCACAAATTGTGGTAAAAATAAAGGTAAAAATATCATATAAAAGGTGAATTTGTAAATTAAACTCAATTTACAAATGGGGAGGTATTCTCCTAAGTATATGATGGACGTATATGTTTCTGGCTTTGTATGTTAGAATAACCACAATTGCATTAACCGTCCACGGAACTTTCGTGTGATTCGAATTATGTTTAAAATCAGTCAAAACAGATGGGAAAACATATGGTAGATTTCATCTCTGGTACTATAAATGGTAAAAGAGAAGTAGTACCAGCAACGGTGAAGCAACATATGAAGTGCGGGGGCTAAATCTTTAATTGTACTACAGTGTCTTAAAAAACTTCTAAACAACAACTTCAGCTCAGTCTAATTATTTTTTTGTTTTGGTGTTGCAAAAAGTATGTGGGCTTCAACACTCACATCCCCCAGTTCCGATGTCCATGCCATACAGATACATATTATATCAAACATAAATATAAACAATATGAATCTAAAGATTTAAAGCCTTTTCTATCAGGTACCAATAACAGATTTATAATAAAACCGTTGATTCCGAAGAGAAGTGGTCAAAACTGGTAGGTTTGTTCTTGCCATCTAAAACGTAGGCACTGTTGCAAGTTTGGTATCCCCACCAAATTAAGTATGCCCTTAGTGAAATAGGCATCCTCCAAAATGACCATTTATTCTTTCTGGCGCAATAAATGTTTTATGCACATTAGGTTTTCCATTTTGAAATTTTCGTTTGATATAAAGTTGTTTAGATGACTGGGGAATCAGAAAAAGTCGAGTGTAAAAGCCCGTAACTGTGTCCAGCACGAAACTATGACTGATTGAGCGGTAGAAAACAGGGGTATTAATTTCCGGTTGAGGTAAGTTAAAACGTGAGTTAGAGTTACGGAATGGCAAGCCATACCATATATGTTTCCACATGTATTCGACCAAAGTTTGTGAAGCAAAATTTGAAATTTACTGATGTACTTATTTCTAGAAGAGAGTCATAAACATTTAAAACTACAGAAGAAAGGGAAATGACAATTCTGAAGGAACGCAAAGAATGCATCAAACAAGAAAATATTCAAAAAGAAAAATATCTTCTTTTAAAATAATTTGATAGTTAATAATCTTCATATTTAATTTTCAAATATCATCAATTAATGAAATGTTTCACCCGTTTCACCAATTCTAAAACGCTTAAAGCGTTAGTTCTAAATTTTAGAAATGCGTTACGAAGCGTCAATAAAATGTATTCCGCGCATTCTACAAGATATGTTACACTAGGTTCCAGTTTTTTTAGATAATGTGTAGCTCCGTGCAGCTCCGTACATTTGGTTCAAAACGGCTACTCGCCCCGCAAAGCGATTCAAATCTTGCAAACTTCGCGTTCGATCTATCTCTACGAGTGGCAAAAAAATCACGAAGAATATTTGCTCATTTTTTTAAATCAATATTTCTTCTTTAAATACTAGCTTCATGGTAAATTCTAAATTTTCTTGCAAAGTTCTTGTTTAATTACCACCTACCCTCTTTCTTTGTGATCTTTGTATGTTTCATTATGATGCTGATGATGATGATAACCAGAACTTGCAGTGTATTTTTTCAATTAGGCCGGCAACATCAGAAACAAATTCTGTTTTGTGAGTGTGAAAAAGATTCAATAACGTTAATAAGATTGAAACTTTGGCCTGGCAGTGCTACTCGTCCCTCTTTAGCTTTTCATTTTAAGATAATGGAGTTGGCTGAAACCTTACTTCTTGAATGTCACGTTTCACTTCGAAAATTCTGCGACGCTCTAAAAATATGGACAAAGTGCTCCTCTTTACCATTGTGGGTAAGTATTCATTTCAACTGTGTCAAAAGAAATACATGTGTACCTTCATTCTGTGTTGCCAACAGGGGGGTACTGCCCCCCTCCTAATATTTATCCTACATTGGTCTTTATTTATAGAACTTGAAAAGGTGTGTGATATCAAACAGTGCATTTTATGTTTAAGGGACATTTTGGGAGTGTTACCCCATCTCTCCCCAAAAAATCCTGTTTGCACAGCTGCCCATGAAATAGATACCCCAGAGCAGTGCAACAGCTTGTTAAAAGTTTGTAACAATTACTAGTTACCTGCCTAAAACATAGAAAAACTAGGTTTTCTTGAACTGTAACCTTAATCTTTCATAGAAAGGCACATTACAAAAGATTAAATATTTCACCCTGCTCCTGCTCTTGTTGTGCATGTATATATTGTTTTAATTGTTTTATTTCATTATAAATTAAGAACATGTATTCAACACTGAACAGCAACTCATTTGATGAGTTTCGGTTTGTAATATAAATTAGTTTCATAAACTATAATTATTGTGTAAACTTAGATGCAAAAAGTACTGTAGAAAGACTGAGGGATGTGATCTTGAAGTCTCATGATTGCTCTGGTAATAGTGTATGATTGAATTTTTAGTGGTTTCTTTATATCGCAGGTATCATCGGCATTTGTTGAGAAATGGTTACCCGCTTGTAAAGCAACATGTCCCAGGGAGATATTTGTGCCCTCTTTGTCCCAAAGTACGAAATTTATAATTGTGCATCTCTTGCAATTCGTTCAAAGCTAGCTTTCTTATTCTAAAAATTTAATAGACATTTGTTCTGCGGAGTTGTACACATTTAGCCATTAAGCACAATATTTAAAAACAGTTGTAGGGAAGTTGTTAATGTCTTCATTCTAAAAGCATCATTGTTATTCATTTCATCCATTGATAGCCTGATGAAGCTGGTACTCTGATTGAATCAATGGATGCTTGTTTTGGTCTTGTGAGAAAAAAGACTTCAGGGAAGGCTCAATTCTTGTCAAGGCATAATTCCATTTTGTTCCACAATCAAGAAGAAGTTGATTCATTTGTTGATAACTACACTTCAAGTGCTGAACAAGCTAAAACTGTAAGTATTGGGAAATGTGGTTGAATTTCAGAAATTTTCTTCACTCGAGTTTGCTATTTTATGTACTTATGAATATTACGAAGCCTTTTATTGTTAAGGATTGCTATGAGTTTAAGGCAAGTGAAGTAAATGACATGATTCGATCAAAAGGTAGAAACAAATTATTCGATGAGAAAGGTGTTTTTGGTTGTGTCTGCCGGCATGATTACCCAAAAGGATTTATGAATATCAAACATGGAGAAAGGTAATTTTTGAAGTCATTAACATATTTTCTTTAATGTTTAAGGCAATCGTTATCCACTTACCATGACAGTACCACAATGACCTACAGCTTATAGTCTGGCTATCTAAGCATCATTTATTACAAACCTGCTTTCATGTGAAGATACTAGCCCCACCCCATCTTTTTTTCAAATATTGCAATGATTGTCTAACCCCATTAGAGTTGTCTGTTAATAAAAAGTAGAAAGTCTGGTAACAGTCATGACATACTTTCATCATGTAATGAATTGATCTTTTGCGTACCATTTAAAATCTTTCCAAGTGGTAGGCTCTTTCTGTTGTATAGCTTTAGTCATTCCCCAAAATGATACAAACGTGTTATGTTAATTCGATTGTAGCAGTTAGCCCTGGGCTACTAGCCCATTGCACTTCGCCTTTTGAAACTATATTTCAAATTTCAATTGAACACGCTAATGACCTTCGTGAAACTTCTGTTGAATGTTGCTGTGTCTGCAATATTAAGAGGTCTTACCAAAATCATGCAATGTCCTAGCAGCAGTATTTGCTTCTTTTTTTAGGATTGGTTATTCTGTTTTTAGTGTCAAACACCAGCTCTCTAACTCCAATGAAAACACAACAATGAAAATCATGTATGACATTGCATGTACTTTGAAGGCACACCTAATGGTTGGTTTTTTAAAGCATTAATAGTTTATTTTGTTTGCTTATAATGACTTTGTGCAGTAGAGTTCATTAAACCGTAATAAAACCAAGTAAAATTGTATTGACATCTTCTGTTCTTTTCCAGAAAAATGGAAAGCATGATTTTGTGAAGAGAGCCGATTATGCTATTCCTGTCTTCCACTGCTATGGTCATAAGTCCTCGTGTCAGGTTTGTACATTTTATTAATTTTATTTCTCTGATGAAACAATACATCTTATGATAGATTTAAAAGAGACTGTTCTGTACGTACTCAAAATGTTTTGCTATCATTGCATCCACGTGAACAATATTTATTGGGTACGAAAAATAATGTTCGGTCTTAATAGTAATAGTTATAAGCAGCTAATAGCAACTTATTTGTTGTCGTGTAGATACAATTTAACCCAAGAAGAAAAAAAGGATATGGATTAACTGATGGGGAAGGAGTGGAAAGACTATGGTCATTTCTTCGGGGATTTTCCGGCATGACCAAGGAGATGAGCTCTGGTCGCCGTCTTGATATTCTGACAGATGCTTTACTGCACTATTCTTCTCGTCGACTTGAACAGTTTGGTTGGTGTGTTTACTGAAAGTACACGTGTTAGGCTCAGGGAAATAACTTCTTTTAATAGTCAAGTTGATTTTGAGAACATTTGCAATACGTGTATTTGATAGACAAAAATTTTATCTTGATGGGGTTTTTTGGCCAACAAGTAGGTGATTGAAAGCTGGAATTGACATATATAGGACAACACGATCGCTTCAAAAAGTATCAACACCGTACAATATTATAGACTTTTAGAAGGCAATAGCGTCCCAAAACTTGTACTATGTAAACGTTTTTTGTTTACTTGAAACTTGTATAGAAAATGCTATATCTTCAATGCACGTGTGTTTTGATCTTTTGCAAGGGCTCTTAAAATTGATTTAACTATTTAAAGATATCCTGTCCCAGACCCTGATATAATCACTTTAGTAATGTACACACAACTGTTTGATCAGTCAACGTTTTGTAAACTAGTAACCCCTCCCCCCCTTCTGTTTTTTGTATATTATTTATTTAGTGCTGGAAGTTGTTGATTTTTTTTAGGATCTTCATTAGCTGCTAAACTTAAAAGATGTCCTGAACTTATTACTAACACGCAATCACAAATACAAGACTTATTTTCGAAGCTAGATGTTCTGTATGACTCTGATTTATTAGAGACATGGATGAAGGAAGAAGAGAAACTAATTAATGAGAAGAATTGTATGTAATGTGCCTTTCCATCAACTTGTTGGCTCATAATTTTTATTGGATGACTGGATTATTTCTTGTAGCAAAACGGGCACTTCCGTTAACAAGGCAACAAAAATATGTGGAAAGTTTATTGCAACTTTACCAGCTAAGGTACTGTAGGTATACAATTTTGATATATAAAGTTTATCAAGTGCATAAATAAATATTTTTACAAATGCGATTCTGTAGTTTTGCTCAATAGGTTGCTGAGATAAATGCGTAATGTCGTCACTCTTTATTTTGTAGTGTATGGCTTTGTGTATGTAATACTGAAGTAATTAATCATTACTATCAGATGACATTTTTTCGTTAAAGAATGCAGATTGCTTGTATTCAGGAAGTTGATCATGGTCACTTTGCGGATATTGTAAAAAAGACTAAGAAGTAAGGCAAGCCTTTTGACTATATGGATTGTGCATTTTTTTTGTCGCTGATCAAACCTCGTGAATAAGTGTTGAGAAGAATTTCAATCTCCTTAAACCAATAGTCGTTTCGTTGTAATATTATCGTTTAAATTTGTTTTGATGTATTTTTTTAGAGTAATGAAACAGGTTGAAAACATTGAGAGAAGAAAAAAGTGAAGAGGTGGAAACCTGGGAGAGAATTTAATACGGCAGCTTTGTTGCTGGAGCTGAAACGGAATGAGTCTGTTATTGAGTCAGCATTTTCTTTAGCAGTTGAAAGGATGTTCCTTGTATCCTTAAAGAATAAATATGCAGGTATTCTTCCTAATGTAACATTTAAATATCCTGCTAAGCATTTCAAACGTCTTTCACTTTAGTGCGTGCGTACTTGCCCAGTCCTTTTAAGTGAGTGTCATTTAATACTTTTAATACTTCGAATTGGAATTATGAAAAAACCCCCATTGAATAGTAGTTTTTACAGAAACTGTATTGGTGGTATACTGCTTAAGTAAAATTATGAATGCTATATGACTTTAACTTGTATTTATTGAACCGAGCGTTATCTTGCGTTTCAGATGGCCAAGCGATAGCCGTTAAACTTTCCAAACAAATAACGCATAGAACAAATTCCATTAAAACTACAATAGCCAAGTATAATGCATCACTAAAGTCTTTGGAAGATTGGATTGAAGGACTACCTAGAAAAATTGAATTTGACGAAGCAAAAGATCCAAGATCGCAACTTTATTGTGATTTTAACTTTCAAACAAATAAAGATACAGTACCGTTCACTGCTAAAGTTCTGCTACTGAGTTGCATAACTTTCTTGAAAGATGCAAAGAGGAACAAGAGATGTTAGAAATGGAAACAGAAAGACTATTACTTGGACAAGAAACAAGAACTGGAGTCCTATATCAATGTTAATGGGGAAGTTCAGAGGAAAATCTTGACAGGAACTGTAGCAAATTTTAAGAAAGATTTAATTAACATAAATAATGCACTGTATTCACTGAAACATATGTTAAATGACTATTTAGCAGAAGCTAGTAAGAGTAAATTACCATTCTTCAAGATAGAAGCAGAGCATGCATTATCTATTTTGCGTCCAACAAACATAATTGAGGATACATTAGAGATTGAAACCAGTTCAGTTGATAACGAGACTGACTGCGAATCACTGCTTCAATTTTCAGATTTTGAATCAGACACCGAGTTAGAATAATTCCATAAACACACGTGTGTATATATATAATTATAAGTTATTAATAGTGAACGCTTTCGCTTTATGCAAAGCTCACCTTTATAGGTGTGAGCGCTCTTTGGACTCTACAAAACAATCCATACATTTTCTTACCGTACATCCTGTGTCCCAAGTGCAGCATTCACCATTTTACTAGGGTGATAGCCGGAGGTCACATTGTTATACACTTTATATATATATATATATATATATAAGTTTGAAAATTTGTAATCCAGGCATTGAATACATAAAAGATAAAAGTTTCTCCGGATTTTGAATGATTTTTATTGAGCTTTCGACTCGTTGCTTCTGAGCCTTCATCAGAGCCTTCCAATGCTAATATTTTCCACAGTAAAATTGCAAACGTTACAAAATGCTAACTTTGTGGATCTGTAACCCAGTAGACTTGGCTAAATTTCAGCATTTATTTGCTACTTCTAACAATTCATAACAACTTTTACAAATATTTTTGTAGTAGAAGTTTTCTTTAGGTAAATTGTCTTTCCTTTAGAATGGATTGAAAGTTACAAACCATCACGTTATGTTTATAGAGATGCTCAACTAAATCTACGCACAAACAATCAAAGTAAAAATCATTCCCTTATATCATAATACTGTACATATGTACAGTGGGTAATAACAGCTGTACCTGTGACAAAAGCTGCTTTTTCCCTTTTTTTACTTGGTTTGTGCGCTGCTTAACTGTCAAGTCATGAATGTCATTGCTTTGAACAGCCTTTGCTCTTTCTGCCCAAATCACACGTTCCTCTGTCCCTAACAAGTTCCAGTGGTCTACAGCTAACTTCAACCTCTCAGAATTAGAGCTCAGCTGCTTGCATTCCTCTAAAATTACAAAATGCATATTTACAAAAGGCATTTAACAACAGAAAGAAACAAAGTACTCTTTTGGGTTTAAATGATGACTGCACAGGTTTTGTCTTAGCACTTTTGGTGGAATAAAAATGATACATATTGTGCAGGCCATAAAAAACATACAGTTTGTAGATCAGAACCTGAGTTCAGCACATGTGAGCAAAAAAGATTATATGCTGTAGTTCTACGCTTTGAAGGGCACAGTCTTAACTCCTCATCTTGATGAGAGCTGGCTTTTCTTTTTCTGGATTGCTTTTCATTCCCAATCCATTTCTAGAAGAAATAACAATAAAAACTTTTTCTTTTTCTTGTAGCTAACCTGGTTCACCAAGGTTATTTACTACATGGTGTATGAACAAATAGAGTACTAACATGATGCCTTCAAGTTATTTGAAGAATAGGATATGCTAACTTAGTCTAAACAACAAAAAATTATTATGTTAAAAAATATAAATGCTTCTTTGCAAACCAAACAATCAAACAATTTCATTAGAAAATTCTGCAACAAGCATGAGCTTATTTCACCAGTAACAGAATTCATTAAGTATGTAACTAAGAACCACCATCTATATGAAACTTCTTTCTCAAATTATTCATAAATTAGGAGAGTCAAAAAAGTAAAAAATGTGACTTATTCCAGCACAAGATAAAAATTTTTAGGGACTATTAACCTAATTAATAAGAAAATTTGTTAAGGTATATTAATTTAGGTTTTGCCTTGATCACCTTCAATGGTATGCACCCAATGCAATTGAACCTTCAAAGCAATTATATACATAATAATGGGGTGACTAGCAGAGAGTAGAAATTAGAAAAACATCTCTAGCATTTACAATTTAAGGTAGATTCAACATTATTGAGTCTCCATAAACTGCAACGATTCTGTCATTCGCAAACTTTCAAAAACATGCAATGAATACAGCATAGTCTGCTCAGTCATTTATTCATGAAACGCAAAATTTCACTTGCTGTGAAAACTATGGATTTCTAAAAAACAATTAATTAATGATAATATTCTCAAATTTATCTACATTTCAGGATTATTATTTGCAAAATGATAAGGTCCCTGTTTGTTATAGCATGAATCCCAGGCAAATCTTTCATGGAAAATGGAAACACCAGTGGGCATTAAAAATGTGTTATGGAGAAAATGCGCATTTAATAATTTAATTTTTGGAAAACCATTGTTGAGGGAAAATTCAGGGAAAACCATAGGTTTTCTGATTATAAGATTTGTGAGAATGTTACAGAATGCCTGCCCTTAAGTTCCAACAAACTCAGAATACTACGAAAAATTTGTGATCAACAGTCTTGAAGGCATACTCAAAAATAGAAAAATTACCAAATTTTCCCATCCCTTTTTAAGATGTACTACCTGTGGCACCTCTATACTATGATATGAATATTATGAAATAAGTATATGTATGTAAATACTATGATCTTATTACTTTTATAAAGGAGAAATTGCATTATTGAAGAAAACTACAGATCGATTTAATGCAAAAAGATATAGTAACCAGTGGTACATACATATTACATCTAACAACAGAGAAAGATAAAAAGCTCGAGAGGGTTGAATACAAATAAAAACAAGATTGTTGTTTATAGTACATAGTAAAAACAAGGGTGAGTATAAAAATATAATAATTATACGTTTAATAGGCCAAGTTAAAATTGTAACAGTAGAATAAATTTTACAAACATCGTCAGCAAACGTTGCAATTTTCAATTGTCAAGCAATACTAAATATAAACACACTGGTATTGTGGTACAGTCAGAAAATAAACCATGCTCTCCCCAATAAAGGGAAAATCCTAAGTATATCTGTTTATATATCTCTGACAACTTGTAAACTGTCTATTACATAAGTTAAGGGTATATAATTAGAAGATATAAAATGCACACTATATTTAATGTCATTTACAGCAACAATAACTAAACCCATCAGATCAAAAAATACTGGCGAAGATCACTCGTTGCTAATGAAAAAGAAAGCGCGGGTAAAAAATATAAACTCGTGCATTCTGTTTACCTTGACTCTTTCAAACGTGATATTAGCTTGGTTCGCAGCTTCTTGGATGACATCCCTCATACTAGCTGCTGTTGAAATCATTCCTCGATCATAATAATCCTTCAAGATCTTTTTTTGTTCGTCATTTAAAATATCATAAGCAGTGGCGTGCGGTCATGCAAGCGTAGGCAAGCGCCGCTTGCCTAAGCATTTTAACGAACAAAAATTTTTTGGATCAATCTCTGAGCAAAATTAGTTTAAATTTTTCTGTTCTAAACAATGTCAATGTAATCTTTTGTCTAAATTGTCTTTACAGTTGAAATGCTTGCTATTTACACGCGATTTACTGTCGTGGTTTTCGGTTTCACTTTGCTACACTTGTAAGATGAGTCAAGTGGATTAAATATACCTTAAAAATTTCTTATTTATTAACCAAGGCAAGCGCGCTTGCCTTCGGAGCTCAATTTGAACATTTGCGCATGCGTTAATCTAGATTTGGAGGCTTCTTATTCGAGGAATATCGAGAAAAGGCAAGCGGCGCTTCTAAGGGCGCCGCTTGATAGCGATTGGTCAACAGTCTTGTCACGCCTGGCATTTTTGCATGCCAAAACGCCAGTTTGTAAGTCATTGTGTTCAGCGGTTTTTGTACAAAATACTTGATTAAAATAATTAATTAATGAAGATGGCGGCTGTTTCTAATGTGCGATTTTCAGCAGAAGAAAAATTACATCAAGAAGACATATACAACAGCGCCGTTCAACAGCCACCTTCCTCCTTAACAAAAGTTGAAGAGGCAATTTTCGCATTAGCAAGTGACATGCAATGCGAAAATGTGGAAATTGTCTCAAAGCGGTTTGTTGGGCAAGTGCAAGCTACACTTCAACTTGCAAAGGTCAACTTTGACACACAACAATAGTTCGCTGAGATTGATGGGACTTTCTATCAATCCAACTAAGCTCTTAAAGGAGGAGTCACGAATTTGGCTAATGGGGATTCGTCGACGACTTGGTGGCAAAAAAAGCATCAGAAACCCATATTATGGGGAAATTACGAGGGTTACTCCGCATACTTTTTTTGCTACCATGATGCGTACTGTTCGCACTTTGGATAGTTTTGTGGCTCCTTTCTGTCACCAGGTTGAAAACAAGAAGGCTGAGGTGATATCCTTCACCTCCAAGCGCCTTTTGAATGAGTTGCTTGTTTTGTTGTCTGTCTTGTCCAAGGAAGATTTTGCTGCTTACCTAAGGCGAAGTTTTAGCGGACGTCGCAAGGGTCAAACAGCAGCAGTTATTGTAACCGAGGTGAAAGACTTTGTTTATTCAATGATGAGCCTTCCAGTTTCTTATTTTGTACATAAAGACAAACAAACATAAAATTTGCCTAACAGCAAAAGAAGCAACTCATTCAAAAATTAAGAAATCATATGAAAAAATTCAACCTAATTCATGTCATCCCTCTAAAAACAAAGAGATCTACAAATACCTTTTAAATTTATTTCAAATAAAAAAGTTAAAACCTGACTAACAACTGAGCCATTTATTAGCTCTTGGTAATTGTTGCATTGCCTGCTTTAAAAACAAAAATAGGGCAAACTAGCACATTGCCTGCAAATACTAGACAGTAAATTTTTCAATGAGGACACCACCCTCTGGCTTCTTCGAGTTTTTATTAAAGTTGACAAAGGTTTAAAAAATTAGTTAAACTACACAAATATCAGTCAATGTAAAATTCAGATAAGTATAATATATGCAAATTTGATTGTATGCACATGTAAAGCTTGCATGCTCTAACATGTACATATTCTGGTAAGATTAAGTTGCACAGATTATACTTGTCCTAATGTGATAAAAGACTAAATAGTTTTGTTACATTGTATATATACAATTACAATATTACAACTTATCCAAACAAAAAACTAATTTTAAAAATCTTTGTCTTCATTCAGCTTGTACATAAAATTACTTTGCTTTGTAACAAATCACAAAAAAAGCAAATGCCAAATCAAAAAGCAATTGTTAAATAATTGTTTTTTTTGTAGAATGATTGCTATAAGCAATTACAGGGAGACAGTTCTCTGAACAATTAGCCCCAAAGAGCAGGAAATTTTCATTGCAACATGTCCAATGTTTAGAAAACTTACCAGCCAAGAGCATGCTGAATCATCTCTTCCAAAAGGTCTCCACCAATAGCAACATGAAATGAGTTTGGCTGATTAAAGTTGAAAAGTTTATACTTACCAATGTTCAAATAAAATTCTGCAAGCTTAACAAGAATATCTTCTATATCTCTGTAAAACCATTGACCTTCTCACACTCATCCAACCCATTGCACAGATGTTCACTAAATAACTTACCAATATCAATAGATTTAATGTATTGCATTAATCTATCATAGGGAACCAGCCGAGGGTGGGACATTTAGCAACACTAACACGTTTAGCCCTCTTACTACCACATATCTGCTCATATGAGCTAGCCTTATAAACTCTTCTATACTTTTCTTTGCCCATAACTCCTTTGCTATAATACACAGCAATCGATCTAAACATATTCTCATCTGATCTTTCGAACTTCTTCAAATCTTCTTTGTAAATTTTTGGAAAACCTTGCTCTTAAACTTACTGCACTTTTCTAATCCTTTTACTATATCACCCACTTTGCACTTTTTTTCTAATGTCTCCAACATTCCAATGGTACCAGGCTTTGTATCATCCTTACTACCTCCATGAATGGCATTAGCCGCCAACATTGTCTCCATCCTGCGTGTTCGACCAGTGGACTCCACACAACCTTGCCCAGTTGGTTTGTTTCTTCGCCTAACAACTGCCTTCCTGCCTATGCTAAAACCTTTCTCCTCTTGTTCCTCCTGCCTACTTCCACCTTCAATGAACTCTGTCCTGATGCTATCTAACTCTTCTACTTCATTCACCAATTTCTTTACCTGTAAAATTTATGAATACAGTTCCAGCACAAAAATGGCATACATATTCTGATATAAAATACAAGCACAAACAGTTCACACTAAAAATACAATTAAACTGAAATAGTACGCCTTGGCGCTAAATATGTCGATTCTGTATAAAACAATCTTTCATTAAAAAATAAGCCTATCATTACAAAATTCGACACATCATGTCAAAATATTGCATATGGTATTGACTTATTGACATATAACAAGATCGAGTAAGCAAAGATCATTTCAAATAAAACTACTAAACATTTTTTACCTTATCATCAAGACGTTTAAGCTTCTTAGACACACATTTTGCTTTCTTTTGCTTGCTCATATTTCCTTCCCATGCCAATCTTTCGTTGCGCATGTATTCCCCAACATTGAATCGTTTGTAATTCGTTGCCTTGCGGAACGGCATGATTGACGCTAAATTATCCCATTTTCTTCAAAACAAAAAACATACGATTGTAAGAAGATTATTTATCTTACCAAATATCCGAAATTTAAACAAAAGAATGATCGGATAAAGAAACCTATACAAGCCGAAGTTAGAGTAAATTATCAAATTTCGCCAATCGACGCCATTTCGCCAAAAACCCTCGAGGAACAAGCTCGTCTGTTGAAAAACTATATGTGTAACCATAGCAATTTAGATATCAAAATGATCCTCTAGTTATCCTCTATAACACTCTTGTGTTCCCAAGTAGCTCAAGGAAAACGTTTGCTGGAAAATCATCGACAAAAATAAGGAATTTGTTGTTCGATAAATTCGTTACCAAGCTTCCAAAAATGTCGCGCGCCGGCAATAAAATTTGGCACATTCTAATTCTCTAATTTTGCGCACAAAAATGCCAAGCGTACGGTGGCCTATATCCGCCATGGCAAAATATTTCAATTACAAATCTAAAACATTAGTAACTACGTCACAAAGTTAATACTCACGGCAAAACATATATACTCACGGCAAAACATATATACTCACGGCAAAACATATATACTCACGGCAAAACATATATACTCACGGCAAAACATATATACTCACGGCAAAACATATATACTCACGGCAAAACTTTATTCCTTTATATCAGTACTGCCGGTTGCTTTCTTTGACAATATGGCGGATGAAGAACAACCTCAACCTGATGTCATTGACGAGAAAAGTTTGATAGAATACTATTTCTATAAGGGATTTGAGTACAAAGATATTATTTTATTTTTAAATACTTATCACAACATCGAAATAAGCAAAAGAACGCTTGAAAGAAGACTGCAAAAATTTAATTTGCGACGTAAAAACCCAGTGTATGATATCAATTTGGTCACTGAAGAGATTAGTCGTTTGTTAGATGGGCCTGGCTGTATTCCTGGTTATAGACATGTGTGGCATTGCCTGAAATTAAAAGGCTTTCAGGTACCAAGAATAATTGTGGAATTATTGCTTCGACAGCTAGACCCTGAAGGATGTGAAATGAGAAAAATACATAAGTTGAAAAGAAGAGTTTATGTAAACGAAGGTCCCAATGCAGTATGGCACGCTGATGGCTACGACAAGTTAAAGCCATATGGCTTTGCTATCCACGGCTGCATTGACGGGTGGAGCCGAAAACTTTTGTGGCTATTTGTGACGCGATCTAACAACTATCCTGATAATATTGCTTCTTATTACCTTGAAGCTGTGGATAAGTATGGGGGCTGTCCTGTTGAATTAGTAACTGATTTGGGTACCGAAAACGGTAAAATGGCTGCAATTCAATCATTTTTCTGTGATAATGAAAATGCTCACAGATATGTTGGATCCCCAAGAAATCAACGCATCGAAAGTTACTGGTCTATGTACAGGAAAACCCAGTCTTCTTGGTGGATTAACTTTTTCAAGGACCTTGTTGACTATGGCAGACTTAACATGTCGAACGAATTTGAGAAAGATTGCTTGTGGTTTTGTTTTGCACACCTTATTCAAAAACATTTGACTGAAACATGCGAGCATTGGAATACACATAAGATCAGAAAGTCCAGGCATTACACAGTTGATGGAAGACCAGATGTGCTGTATTTTTTACCACATGGTAAGGGAGGAGAATCAAATCTTATTGTGTCAGTAACAGATGACAAAAAGTCGTATGCAAGAAATCATCTAATTGAATCGGAGACCTTTAACTTGTATTTTGAATACATTGAATATGTAATGGTTGATAAAGATTTAATATTCCTAAAATTGGAGGAAGCGCTGGAACTTTTTGAAAACATTGTCGCTATCTCCAAAGGTGCTTATGGAGATTAAGTATTTTTAGTTAGGCAGATTTATTTACATGAAAGCTACAATTAGCGAAAACAATTAAAGAACAGCTCAAACGTATATTAAACAATATCACTTTATGTGTCTTATTGTGTGTTTATAGATATAAGAACTCATAGTCAATGCCAACTTTAAGACTTATTTAAGAAACAGATTTACACAACAGATGTCATGCTAAGGCTTTGCAAATGCTTGTCCCTTGCAGTAAGCAAGTAAAAACAAATCAATGAATTCTTTCTCTGTTTGCATGTGACATGTTGGAAATGTAATTTCTTTGGCACATGCTCCAACTCTTGGGAAACAAACAGTGTGCTGAGGGTTACGCTGCATGCACTCATGGTCAAACAAAACTGTTATACCAAATTTCTCTCCTCCAACTGGTTTGTGCCATTGGCCAGTAATCCATTGCATGATACCAGCAACTGACAAATCAGGTGATTCAAAATTATCTGTAGAGGGGAGTGATTCAATCTCTGGGATTGTTTGATTTGCTGACAAGTTGCCCAATTCATGATCATAATTCCACGCAACTGCACTTTTGTAACCAGATACACGGCCATCATCAAATGACAACAAAGTATCCTGGAAAAAGTCTATAATAGATTCTTCGACTTTCTTTCTAGAAGAACCGTCTTCTGAGTACATAGGATTTATAATGGAGAGTAAGTAATTGGCATCAGGTTCCAAAGTTTTCTTGAAGTTGCCATTGACAAATAGTGGCTTGCAAGCTTCAGGGTCATTCTTGATTAAGTCAGGTAGCCCATATGCTTTCATACCACCAAGAAACTCATTCATATACAAAGTTCTACGATTCAGGAGACTAACCTAACAAAATAGCACATTTAAAATAGTTACTATGAGTTATAAACCTTAACTTTGATTTCTATTCTGAGGCTACTGCTAACTTTAAAACTGGAAAATAGAGCTCAACATGTATGAGATACTTTTTTTCTATAAAAAGTATGTAAAAGTTGTCAAATTTGTCATATGTTTATCAACTTTAGGTGGTTATTATGAACAGCACCATGACCTTAAAAAACTCTCATTACATGCATTTAAGACAAGCTTCACAAATCATTGTTAGTCATTTAAAATTCTATATTTTCAAACCATGTAACACAGTGAATATCAAATACCTTGATTGAACCAACAATTGCTTCAATGTTTTGTTTATTCACTGGACCTGTATAACCATGCTCAAGAATGGTATCAACATAGTCTTCACATGATGATTCAATTTGCTTTATTAACTGATGCTCTTTTGGTGACAGATCACTTGCTTTGATGTTGTGAATATCTACACCCTTAACCATCATATCGAAAGTAGCTTCATCAAGGAAACATGGAGGTGGCCCCCCTTGAGCCATGGATACTGCAGCTATCTCTCCACAAGTATGGTAATTGCTATTCTGGACATGTAGAGTAGAATCAACTGGAAAACCATCTGGAAACATTATTTTTTCTATTTCTCTGGTAGCTTTTTCTAAAAATTCTTTGGCCATTGCACCAGAATCAATACCATCCTCTCCAATAATGCGAACTCTAAAAATTCTTGTAATAGGGGTTTTCTTCGCTTCCCTTTGCCACAAAGATAACAATCTTGTCAGGCTGATTCCTCTTCGTACTACCAAGAAAAATTGGTCCAATTCAGCATCTACCTTGTCACCCAGTTTTTTGACAACATCTACGGGATCTTTTAGTATTTTTTCATAAACTGAGCTGACTGCTTCTGGATTCTTGTGAATGAATAGAGGAGATGCATAAGCTTCTGTATCAAGTTGATATTGCAGTTTCTGGGCAACTTTTGCATCTTCACATACCCTCTCTGATTCTTCAGTGTTGCACAATTCACGAATCGAATCCTGCTGATAAAACTCATCTTCTTCATACATAGTATCAAAAAGTTTGTCCTCTTTGTGGGAGTTGAATTGGTCAAAAATACCTTCGGAAATATTGTGGTCTTCCAAGGTGCAAAGGTACATGGTAATTCTTTTAAAATCTTTTCCTATCTCAACTTTATAATTGTCAAGTTGGAAAAAATCTTTCGTTCCAGGCATCAGCTGAGCATGACTTCCATCTTCATAAACCAATATATGTTCTTGGGTGTCATCAAACTTTCGATCAAATGCTTTGTATTTTTCAACAGCTTTATCCAGTATGCTTCGATAATTGGAGGTCTTTGGAACAACAACCGGAAGTTTTTTACCCCACACGGCTTTTAATTCATTGCCTACAATTTTCATCAGACCAATGTTGATTGTGACATTTTGATCACTATTATCATTGACTTTTTGTTTTTTCTTGGGGAAAAGTATGTCCAGAAATTTGCTCTTTGGACTTACGTTGCATGTAATCTTCAAGCGACAAAGTTTTGGTTCACCTGAGATTACTGGCCTTCCAAAAGATCCCTTTTTGTTGGAGCTACAGGTTGCAATGCATATGGATGATTCTCCTTCGCTGGAAGATGTTTGTGGCTTCCAGTCAGGTGGACCAATCTTTGATTGATCAGCCTGGCATTTCCAGCAGTATTGGGATGTGCTTCTAATTTTTGAAGAGCAATTGCAACAAAACCTATCAGTAGATGAAATAGAAATGCAGATTATGAAAACGTTTATAAAAAATTGCCTAATCATTTCTACCAAAAGTGGCCTGAAATTAAAGGATGTTAAAACTTTGCAGCGAGTCGTTATCCAAAATCACGTCCGTTACAAGTTGTGCAATTCGGATATAACAAAAACAATATCTTGAGAAAGAAATGCATAAACTGTTTTAGAAAATACACTGTCATCTTAAAAGTTCTGATGAATGAAAATATAATATAAGGCTAAAATTTTCGAGTCATGTGCACTTTCAAAGACCACTGTCAAAGACGTATAAGATTCAAATTCTTATAGGCAATATAAGAGCAAGCAAGTTGTCCACTATTTGCACTCAAACTATCAGAATTTCCTTCTAACTGGACAAATGTCCATTGTAGCGTTGACCTTGTCTGAGCGTTGCTTTCAAGCCATATCAACGCAGAGTTGACACAATTCAAACGCTCTTGCCTCATCCAACTCATCATGTGAACAAAGCAGTAAAATGAGAATAATCAATCTGAGGAATTTCAGGTAACATAATTTTCAATCAAACATAACCAATCAAAATAAAAAGCTAGAAAAATTTCCGTTCATACTTACACAAAGTCGCTAGATGATGGCGAACTTTCTTTTCGATGATCCGCCGCCATGTTGATCATGTAAATGCATATGAAATGAATAATTGAACATATGATTCAGGAAGTGCCAAAATAAAAAGCCATTTCCGGTTTAATTCTTAAAGTTTTGCCGTGAGTATATATGTTTTGCCGTGAGTATATATGTTTTGCCGTGAGTATATAGTTTTGCCGTGAGTATATATGTTTTGCCGTGAGTATATAGTTTTGCCGTGAGTATATATGTTTTGCCGTGAGTATATATGTTTTGCCGTGAGTATATATGTTTTGCCGTGAGTATATATGTTTTGCCGTGAGTATATATGTTTTGCCGTGAGTATTAACTTTGTGACGTAGTTACTAATGTTTTAGATTTGTTATTGAAATATTTTGCCATGGCGGATATAGGCCACCGTACAAGCGTGTGTACGCTCGCAATTTTAAACACATATCAGCGCACGAATAATATTCGTATATTCAACACATTGGACATCCGAATTATTCACGCCGTTAATGTTATCGTTTATTAAAAGATGACTGAGATCGAAAGGTAATGTTCTGATTTCTAATTCAAAGTAGTAGGTGTTTTACTGGTTATTTTATTATTTTCTGCGCACAATGTGCGTAAACAAGCAGGGGCCGCAGTCTGCAGAGATATCGAAATGCACACAAACGTGTGTTGTGGTAAAGTATGACTAGCATTATGACCAAAACACTATGCTCTTGTCAGTCTTGTGTCGTTGAATTCGTAAATTAATGACTAAAAATAAAAGGTACAAGATACTAAATAATACACACGACTCTCCGATATTCTGAAACGTACGAGTCAGTGCCAGACACATTTTGAAGAAAGGGAGAACACGTTGCCATGACGTCATCATACCAAAATATAAACATTAAACAACGCCATGGCCTCAGTTTGAAACACACCGTGCCAATTTTGTGCGCGAAACTGGCTGTTCTTAATTGTTATAATCACGACTGCTACAATACATTTCGCGCCTATTGTCTTGCAATTTATGTATGTAGAAGATATTATCTGTAGCATGTAATACAAGAGCATATATTATCAAGAGCATATTTCAGATATTATCTGTAGCATGTAATACAAGAGCTTATATTGACATGAGCTTCCTTTTGCGTAGTAGTTTTGATATTTGTATCCGGTAGATATCATGTAACTGATGTAAGGTATAAATAAGATTGATGTTCCTAGAAAATATATAGCATAGGAATTTTCATCCTTTTATGTTCTACTTCTACATTCGGTATTTTCACGACACCTGTACAACATGACTGAATGCATTGTGGAATCACTGTTATCCCGCTCATTTGGATTGAGACCTTTTTCCGAGAAACGAGAGATCGTCGAAGGTGGCCGTCCCACTCCTGAGTTGCAAGGACTACATACAACATCCAAGCGAAGTGGTAAAGTCTTTATTCGAAGTTTTCAGACGTCAAATTACGACAAGTACAAATGGCTGGCAGGCTCCTCAAAATTGAATAAGTTATTTTGCTGGCCGTGTCTTTTGTTCAACTCAACAGACAAGACAGTCTTGTGCAAGAAGGGATACGATGATTTGGCCAACCTGTGTAATGCCGTCAACAGACACGAGAAAACGAAGACACACTTGTCCAGTTGCCTAATGAATGCCAGTTTTGGGCGTACACGCATCGACATGCAGCTAGACGAACAGGATCGTCAACACATCTCAGCTCACAACTTGGTGGTACACAAGAATAGAGAAGTACTTCGCCGTTTCATTGATGTTGTTTGCTTTCTTGGCAAACAGGAACTTTCTTTCAGAGGTCGGGTGGAGCTGGAGGAGTCTGCCAGCAGGGGCAATTACGTCGAATTGATAAAACTGCTAAGTGCATATGACCCCACGCTTGAACAGCATCTTCATACAGCAACCGTGTTTTCTGGACTTTCTAATCGTATCCAGAACGATTTGATTATTGCTGTCAAGGACGTTATGTTGAAAGCAATAAAAGATGAAGTGATGAGGAGCCCATTTGCCCCTATTTCCCTGGATGAAACCTCCGACGTTAAGACCTTATCGCAGCTAACAACTATAGTTCGCTATGTCAACCCAGATGGTAAAGCTATGGAGCGCTTTCTTGGATTTACCGATGTAAGTGAGGATAGAACTGCGGCTAGAATGAAACAAGAAGTCGGTAAAACCCTGAACGAGTACGGATGCGGCGAAAAACTGATTGCCCAAACGTATGACGGTGCGAGTGTGATGTCAGGAGAACTGTCCGGTTTGCAAACACGAGTAAGAGAAGACTATCCACATGCTCTTTTTATCCACTGTTGCGGACACGCATTAAATTTGGTCCTTGTTCAAGCTGTCTCGTCAACTAAAGAGTGTCGTATATTTTTTAAAACCGCCACTGGTCTTTCATCCTTTTTTCACGCCTCGTCCAAGAGAACATACCTGTTGGACACAGTTGTCGGCAGACGCATTCCCACTGGAACAGCTGTTCGATGGCACTATCAGAGCAGGTTAATCCATGCTGTACTGGAGACAAGAGCAAAGCTGCTCGAAGTTTTCGAATACATCATCGAAAATGATGACGAGTTTGACGGTACGATGTTAAACGAAGTGAGGGGCTACCGACAAGTTCTTGCAGATTTCCAGTTTGTGTTCTGCCTTAAAATATTTTCAGAAATATTTGGTCTTACGGATGTTTTGTATAATATCATTCAGAGTAAGCAGTTCGATATTGTCTTCTGTGTCACGAAAGTTCGCGAGACGAAAGATAAGATTCAAGAACAACGAACAAAATGCGTAGATTATTGGAATTTTACGTCAAGTATCGTCAAAGTAGCACTGAAACGCGGGCAAAGTGAAGAGGATGTAAAGGCGTCCTTCCGTCAAATGTTTTTCTGTGTAGTCGATACCGTTGTCGTGCAGATTGACTCTAGATTCGAAAGTCTTAACAGCAGAGCATTCGTTTCTTTGTTGGATCATTCAAAGCACGAATTGTACAGCCGGAATTTTCCCGAACGAGAGCTGCAATCGTTGCAAGATTCATATGGAACATTCTTTAATCTTCAAGCACTAAAAAAGTGAACTAATCGTTGTATACGCATCTGCCGAGCTCAAATCGAAACCTGTTTTTGATATGATATCAAAAATAATCGAACTTGACTTGAAAGCCTGTTTTCCAGAGGTGTACCGATTATGTCAGCTCATTCTTACTATGCCAAGTACGTCCTCCTCTGCAGAAAGATCATTTTCGGCTCTCAAGCGTATCAAAACGTATCTTCGCAGTACACAAGGGCAAGAGCGACTTTCTGCATTGGCTACAATTTCAATCGAGAAGGAGATGTTGGTAAGTTTGCAGGGGAAGCCACGATTCTATGAGGACGTTATAAAGGAGTTTTGCGCAAAGGAAAGACGGATGGAATTTACATTTAAGTAAATCTGTTGTAGGATTTTGGACTATTTAGTTCTGTTACTTCTTCACTACAATAGAAATGCACGCGTAGCCATTTACTTAAAACGACTTTATATCACAATATTACATGTAATACTTTTAAACCGTAATTGTGATATATACTCTATAAAAGTTTTTGAATTTTTTAGATTTTTTCAATACTGTTCGGCAAGCCGCGAACCTCACCCCCAGCGCTTGCCTATTAAATTCGGTCACCGCACGCCACTGATCATAAGATGCTGAACGTCGAACGTTTTCCGCCATAGACAGATCACAGAACAGGAAAATAAAGATGACTAAATAAAGTATTTCATAAATTCGTGAATCCCATACATCAGAATGCGCGGAATACATTTTATTGACGCTTCGTAACGCATTTCTAAAAATTAGAACTAACGCTTTAAGCGTTTTAGAATTGGTGAAATGGGTGAATGTTTACAGCATAATTAAAGTGCATCACTTTCTCGTACGCTTACATCTGTTTACATGCAATATCCTACTAAAAATAAAGCAAATATGTTTAGAAATCATCACAAGATGAATCAAAGAAAGAAATAAAATTTGAAAATTGCATTATATCGACAATGGCCTTGGAGAAATAAAGTCGATGGCCAGAGACAAATTAAAACAAAACTTTACATTTATTCAACCAAACTGATGATGTAGTTATGCTTCTAATTTACTCGATGCAAAACTAATTGCTTCATCCGAACTACATACTGTTGATGTACAATAAAATTTACAAAGCAGCACTAAACTTTAGCCAAGCTACGCCAATAAATAAAACAAACTAAATGCAACATGGTTTTCACGTGCGATCGAAAAAAACACTGAATGAAAAGTCTCTATTTTCTTAGCTTCGTGGAAATTGATGTAATATTATTTCCTATAGTGTAAGTGAGTTACTTACAAATGTTAAAAAGGGATAATATTTGGATAATCAACACGGAGTTTTTCTCACAATCTTCTGATAGTTTGCTAAAACCATTAGTTAATTTTGTGATTTTACTATTTTCTTTATTTAAAATAGTAATTTTATTTAGTTTCCTGTTCACATTCTGATAGAAATTTAAACAATGCGTTGAAATCAACAGGCGAAAAAGAAACATCAATTACAGAGATTTCTATTTTTGTACCTGGCATAAAATCAAATTTCTTGCAAGCTGACCTCATAAGATCTTTGTCCTGTAACTCGTACAAGCACTTCATGCCAAGAAAACCAAGCGATTTATCGCCCTCATTAGAATATGAATAGGAGACCCACGTTTCGAATCTGCAAACGTGAATACAGGTAAAATATAAACTGGTCGTCTTGTTGGAGGATGTTACAAGTTTGGGATTATATTTGCATGTAAAAACACTTAAATCTAATAGAAATGCATGTATTCAATAAGTTAGCGTAGAGTTCTCGTAAATTTCTCTGCTGTTACCATAAATCTTTAGGCAAGCAGAATACTACATGCCAATAAGTCTTTTAGAGATGTAATACAACACGTAGCAAAGAGATTGTTTATTGAATAGGATTATAATAAAACACCGTTTTTCTTTGACATCTTAATTTTTCACAAATTTCACATTTGTCTGTGTTTTGGAATTCCTTTCAAGAAATGGAAATTTCTGTCAAATTTCCATGCGTCTTGCAAAAATGTACGAACATTGTGATGCTATCGCATTCCTAGAACTTATTATGAGACCTCCAAAAGGAAATTCTTAAATTTCACACACATGTATTAAACTTTCGTTTTTTTAGTATTAGAGCTGTTTTCATGTAAATCAATAACATATAAGAAAGTTTAAGATCATCAACTTTAGTCTTCGCGTTTAAGAAAAGCGCAGTTTGTTAACTATAACAGGCAGTCTTGCAGAAAACAAGAAAGTATTATATTATGTCAAGAAAACTTTAGTAAAACCTAACCATAAAAATAAGGCATAGACGATAATAAAGAATGATAGATCATTTTGGAATACGCAATCACATACAACAATCAAAATTTTCAGTTAATACATTTCTTCTACTGTTGTGGTTTCTTTGCCCGCTCTCTTTATGTCTCTGACTAAACCAGCAACAAACTATATCACCGAATGCCATTTAGGATCTGAAACATGATAATCCAAAAATTTTCCAACGTTTTGCCAATCGTCAACAATACACCAAGCAGCAAGAAACTCTTGAAGCGTCAAATGTGGAAACCGTAAAAAGAAAGTCGTTTGTGTGGTATCTTAAGAAAAATTCCACAATTTGTTAGTTTGTAATAGTCACCCTTACTTCTTTCTTCAATTCCCGTCTTTGCAATGTCTTTTAATTTATCTATAGATTCTGTATTTCCTTCCTCTGTTTTGCAAAGAGGATGGTGATTCCATAATAAGATTTTTATTGCTCTATTGTACAAATCAGTCACAGTCTTTGGAATATCGTCAGTCTTACTTTCCTTCAAGGTCAGACAAGCAATGTAACTGTTAAAAGTTATGTAACAAATGTTGCGTAGTTCAAAAGAACTATAAATGTGATCACAAATCTTTTGTGCTAAATTCTTGTCTTCACCACAAAACTTGTTGACATATTGCTTAATCTAATCCTCAAAAAAGCCTAAGATCTCCACAGTCCTGTTAAACTCCCAAAGTTTAATTGCATGTTCGGCAGTTGGTCGTGATGTTATAAGAACTGTGGCACCAAGCAGCAGTTTGCCTTCAACCAGCATACATATCCATGTAAACGCTGGCATTATTGCTTTTGGATGGAGTGAGCCATCAGTTTCAAGACATTCACTGTGCAAATATAATTCATCAAGACCGTCAATGATAAAGACAGTCCTTTCTGGATTCGACATAATAAACCTGTAAATTTGTGAAAAATGTTCATCAGAAAATCCATGGCAATCACGCAACAAATTTTCCAGATTTATGTCATCCTTTTCAATTTCGCGACATCGCATTAAAAGAAGCACTTTATCATACCAAAATTCATCTGCCTTTTTTTTCCATTCAAACATAAGTTTATTTGTCAACAAAGTTTTACCCATTCCAGGCCTTGCAATGACTAAGATGGAACGTGGATACAATTGATTTTGTTTATTCTTGTGCCTTAAAAATTTCTGTAGCATTGATTTTATGCCTTTCAAAAGTTTCGGCTACATGCATCATAACATGTAGCCAATAAACCATATTTTTCAAAGAGTTTAAACCAATTTCTTCGTATGATTCAAACACTTTGTAACAGTTTTTGACTTTGTCCAACCATTCGCGATTTTTTTTCCATTTTTCTAACATGTATTCGGTACAAAATTCTTTTTCTGGTATGAAACAACTGTTTTTGCCAGCCCTAAACATTACGTAGCTCAAATGTTGTCAGTATTATCACAATGACATGAACGAATGCAATAATTTGGAACAATCTTTCAATTTTATCACCGTTAGAATTGTCACAATCAAGGAAAACGACTTTTTGTGAGATAGGAATATTTTCATTTAAAGAGAGCTTGCCTTTCAGTTTAGGATGCCAAGCACATGCGTAATCGACGGGAAACTTCACTGGGAATAATTTGGCAGTGCAACTAAACAATATGATAAGGCAGAAAAACAAATATGCAACGTAAATGAAAAACGTAGGAAAACGGTTTGTCACATCACCAGACGGTGCATCACTACCAGCAGTATTAGACTTGTCCTTCTTACTATTGAAGTGAAAAAAATTTCGGGGCTATCTCGATATTTACGGTGCCGTAGTAATGAATTACCGACATTGTTAACATGATACAATGTAACATAAAGTATTTCATTTGTTAAAGTTAATGTTAACTCAGTTCATTGGAAATAGATCAGTGGACACGTGACAATCGAACGATTTTACATACATCCTGTATATATGTATATATATATATATTGTTGTTCTTTGTAGAAAGAGGTTATTGTGAAATCAATATTAATCTTAGAGTAAACTTCATAATCTAACAGGTTATGGGCCCAGTAATAGCCCTGGAATACCCCAGTAATAGCCCAGAAATAGCTTAGTAATAGTGCAGAAATAGTACAAGACCGTATTTATGGATAGTCAAACAATTAAGTGGCTTGTGTCCGATGGAACAGCCGAGAACTATCCGGCATGGAGCACAAAGTTTACTGCATACATGCAAACGAAAGGTTTGTACAAAGCTCTCATTGGGAGAGAAGTCATACCCCAAGAAGTTACACCGTTAACAGTCGTCGCTACAAGTGAGCAAAGAGCCGAATGGGAAACAAAAGTACGAGAGAGAAATCAACAAATTGATGAAATTAAAGAAAGAAACAACACGGTATTGTGTCATATTGCATTAGCTCTTGACAACAACAGCCTTTTATACATACGACATGACTGCAATTCGCCAGATGGTGTCGGAGACGGAGCAAAAGCGTGGCGTCTACTGCAACAAAGATTTTCTAACGTAGAAAAACCAACTGTAGTAAGTTTAGTTCGACAAATATCTCGATTACAATTAGGTGAAAGTGAAAAGTTATCCGAATACTTTATACGTTCACAAGAATTAATGTCTCGACTCACCGAAGACGGAGAAAATATATCAGAAACATTATTTAATGTTCTAGTCATTAATGGACTTCCAGAAAAATTTGAACACTTCGTGGTTCAAGAAAGTTTTAATCCAGCAGCTAACTTCTCAGAACTGAGAACTCGACTACAGAGTTATGAGGATAGTCGGATTCAAAGAAATCAAGGAGAAGATAGTGCAATAGCAATGCACTCTGGAAATTCATCAGGCAAAAACAAAGCCCCAATCAAGCAAAAAGGAACTTGTTATGTTTGTGGACTCCCTGGTCATTTTGCCAAGCAATGTAGTAAAAGAAGTTCAGCTTTCTGTTCAAAGTGCAAGAAAAAGGGACATCTATCAAGAGCATGTAGGAGTCAGAGTAAAATCGAAGAACCTTCAACAAGAGGACCAAATTCATTCTCGTCATACTCTCAATGCATGAATAGTGGCACTGGAATAAATAGTGACAGTAGAAGATTGAATTATATCATCATTGATACTGGTTGCACAGATCACATCATTACTAAAAAGGAACTATTCAACAACTTAAAACCATGCAATACTAAAAATTTTAAGGATCCAAAGGGAAAATTAACACCTATCGAAGGTATTGGTGACGTACCAGTAAAGCTTCTATTGAAAAATGGAGAAGAAGTAGAGATGGTAGTGCAAAATATCCTTTATGGGCCAAATTATGAAGTAAACCTACTCTCTGTCAACCGAGCTGTCAAATTTGGACATAACTTCGTATTCAAAGAGAGTGAAGCAAATTTGATGTTAAATCATGGTCCAGGAATTGCCCTAAACAAAACGCAGGTTTATTTTATCTAGAGATCATATTCCAAAGATCCAGTTCCTGTAATTCCATTACAAGCAACCAGAATAAAAGAGAAATGAAAGGAGATTTTCAACTGTGGCATCAACGCCTCGAACATTTGAACAAAGATGATGACAAACGCATTGTTAACTGCGAAGACAAATTAAAGAAAGTGTGTGAAGCATGCGCACTTGGAAAGCAATCATGCAAATCTGTACCTAAAGAAGCTCACAATAAGTCCCAGAAACCACGCGAACTGGTATACACAGATATTCTTGGTCCATTTGAAGTGCCTAGCCTCAGTGGATGCAGATATGCAATTACCTTTGTGGACGAATACTCGAAGTATGTATTCATGAGCAAGAAAGCACAAGCATTCGAAAAATTTAAAGAGTACGTAGCAAAATCAGGATTACCTCGAAAATTGAGAAGCGATAACGGAGCAGAGTATACATTGAAGCAATTCAAAGCTTACTGCATAGAATCAAAAATAAAGCAGGAATTTACGGTACCCGAAACCCCGCAACAAAATGGAGTTGACGAACGCTATAATCGAACTCTAGTTGAAATGGGACGATGTCTATTAATCCAAGCACAGTTACCAAAACGTTATTGGGTAAGAGCCTTATCCACAGCATCTCATATCAGAAATCTCACCGTTACTGCCAACAGCGAACAAGGTAAAAGTCCTTTCGTGCTTTTCACCGAAAAAACGCCAAGATTAAATCATTTACGCACTTTTGGCTGCACAGCATACGTCATAAAAAGAAGATCAACCTAAAGAAATTGGATTCAAGATCTGTGAAAGCAAAATTTATTGGTTACGAGGACAAATGCACGGCTTACATTATGCAAGAATTTGAATCAATGAAAGTCATCAAAGCACGCAATGTTGTCTTCAAAGAAAGTGAAATTCAACCTTTTTCAGCAAAAGATACCATAAATCCAGAACAACCAAATCTTATGAGCCCCAACATGGATTTCGACGATGATCGTTCGAAAGATGAGAAAACAAAGGAACCGATTCAAGATGAAGTGGGGGAAAATAATGCACCGATACCCGCTGTTCAACATCAGCAAGACGATGAAGAAAATCCAGAGGAAGAAATCTCGCTTCCTAGAGAAAGCAGAAATCAGCGGCCACCAAAAAGGTATGGATTATACTATACGTTCAACACAACTAATGAAGAAAGTGTGCAAGAACCCAAGTCTTATTATGAAGCAATTAATACACCGCACGCTGAAAACTGGAGAAAAGCGATGAAAGCAGAATATGATTCACTAATAGACAATAACACATGGACAATAGTGAACGAACCAGAGAATGTGCAAGTTTTACCAGGAAAATGGGTATATAAAGTAAAGTATGGAGCAGATGGTCAAATCGACAAATATAAAGCAAGATAGTAGCCAAGGTTTATGCTCAAGTCGAAGGCTTAGACATTTTCGATACTTACGCTCCAACATTTAAACCCGAAACTTTTCGAATCCTGCTCGCAGTGACAGCACAAAAAGGTCTACATATTGGCCAGATGGATGTTAAATCAGCATACCTTCAGTCCAACATAGAAGAAGAAATTTATCTAGAACAACCAGAAGGTTTTACCAAGAAAGCAAAATCTGGACGAAAGCAAGTTTGCAAGCTAAACAAATCAATCTATGGATTGAAACAAGCGGCAAAGAATTGGTATGAAGCATTGGCTAATCTACTTATTAAAGAAAAATTCAAACGTAGCTGCAACGATTATTGTTTATTTGTGGGAAAAGAAGAAGATGGAACATCTTCATACGTATTAGTTTGGGTAGACGATATTATAGTAGCTGGTACGATTGAAAAAGCAGTTAATCATATCAAAGCAATGTTGAGCAAAAATTTCAAGATGGACGACCGTGGCACACTGAACTTAGGAATGCGATTTCTACGATCTCACGACAAGATTACCGTTGACCAAAAGAAATACATCGAATCTGTTCTTCAACAATTCAATATGAGTGATTGTTAAACAGCAGCAACGCCTGGAGAAGTAAATCTGAAGCTAATCAAAAGCAACGACGATCAGAAGTTAGTCGATGCGAAGTTATACAGAAGTTTAGTTGGTTCATTACTATTTATTGGTAAACAAACCCGTCCAGGTATCCTTCACATTGTTAATCAGTTATCAAGATTCCTAGATAAACCAGACATTTCACATTGGAAAGCAGCAAAGCACGTATTAAGATATCTTAAAGGAACTATCGATTTACAATTAACATTCTTCAAGAATTCCAATCTCGATATCGTTGGTGATTCAGACGTAGATTGGAGTGGTGATCTCAATGATCGCAAATCAACTACAGGATATTACTTCAAATTTGAAGGGAACGGAGGTGCAATCAGCTGGGAAGTGATGAAACAGGCAACTGTAGCACTTTCGTCAACCGAAGCCGAATACCAAGCTATGGCGTCAGCTGTACAAAAAGCAATATACCTACGAGCACTAATGAAAGATTTACGTTATCCAATGAAGAAACCAACCAACATTGGAGAAGATAACCAATCTTGTATAAAGATGTGTCATAATCCCGTAATGCATAAACGATCAAAGCACATCGATACGAAACTACATTTCATTCGAGAAAGAGTACAAAGCAAGGAAATAAAGATCAGTTACGTTCCAACCGAAGAAATGACAGCAGATATTCTTACAAAGTCATTATCTCGAGTCAAAGTAGAAAAACATCGAGCAACACTTTTAGGGATTTAGTTAAATACATAGCAGACTCATCATGAGCAAGCTGAGTCTGAGTGGGGGTGTTAACATGATACAATATAACATAAAGTATTTCATTTGTTAAAGTTAATGTTAATTCAGTTCATTAGAAATAGATCAGTGGACACGTGACAATCGAACGATTTTACATACATCCTGTATATATATATATATTGTTGTTCTTAGTAGAAAGAGATTATTGTGAAATCAATATTAATCTTAAAGTAAAGTTCATAATCTAACAGACATTGTGTTTACCTAACGGTGAAGTCGTTTTGTAAACACCTGGAAGAGATTCATCAAATCTTTGAATTCGACATTTTACCAAGAGTCCATAAATATTTCTAAGAACTAGGACACCGCCAAAGTTTATCAAAATAAATAGAACGGACGAAATACTAAATGTCTTCTTGTACTGCCTCCAACAATCTGATTCGATATACTGCACGAGGGCTGCTTCTTTCGTCTTTGATATTACATCATTATAGCAATGAAATGAAGTAGCTCCATGCCAATATATTGAAAGACTAAAACAAATGGCTCCAAATACTGTAAATAACCAAAGCAGTACTTTTCCACGGGAGTTGAAGCTATTCTTAGGAATAACGTCAAGGCACTTTTCCAACTTTGTATCCTGTAAACAATAAGTATTAAGTATCTCGGCTAACTTTTCATGATAGAGCCATACAGCTATAAAAACAACTTGTAACTGTAAATTTTTCGCTTTAAAATTTGAGTTAGACTAAGATCTAGGGCATATGCACTACACTGTTTTGACTACTGGATAAAGCCATTTTTTATGATCGCTCAAGACCTAAGTTGTGACTAAATTATCTAGAAGCGTGAAGAAAAGGGCAATCGTTATCTGCTTATATCATTTCATACTGATGTGTTGTAATGCAACGATACGCCGTTGGCTTTGATTAAATATAATTACTGAGCATGATGAGTGTTTTGAGGAAAGTTGGGCTTGTGCAGGACGTCTCAAAAAACGGAATACAATACATGGGATTTATACATGTATAATGCATAAATTAAACAGCACATTGATAAAACCAAATTAGTTTCATGCATTAATTGACAGGCAATTTATGGTCTCCTATAAAAATGGAATAAGGCCACTCTTAATTTTGTGAACGCAAACGTATTTAAGGCCCGTTTCAAACGTTGAACTTTACATGTGCCGAATGCATTAAGAACAAAAGATAATGAGATAAACTTCCTCATAACCATAACCATAAAAATAACCATAAAAATTGGTTACCTCAGATGCATTTAACCACTTTAACCAATATTTTTATGGTTGCCTTAACAAGCAGTTAAATTGAATCGTAAAATTAAATTTTTAAGTCAAAGAGATGAAAAAGTTATCTGAACAGTTAGTTGAACAGTTATTTGATAATAATGAGAATGTAGATTTCTTATTAAGATCAAATTTTGATCTTAATACAAAACGTGCTATCTCATTATTCAATCTCTTCCATATGTAATTATGTATACATTACCAAAATATCGACGATCTGACCGTAGGTCTGTATAAGCACCTTCGTTTGCTTTTTATATGCCCTTCGTGTTAAATCCACAGACATTTAACTAAGAGCACTGTAGTGTATTGTATGTTTATAGGAAGTTTATTCTTTGGGTGAATTGGTCAGAATTAAATCAATACTCGGCACGCTCGGTTTAGGAGCGACGCTTGCGTATACGTCTGCGATATCGTGAAAATTCAAGTCCATTACACCAAACTGACTAACGCATTGTGTCAAACTAAGGAAACATGCATACCATTCTGGTTACTCACCGTTAGGGTTATGAAATCAGAGAAAGAATAATTTTTTGTTGTGAAAAGTTGCTGTAAAATTTTCACATACAATCATATGTAAACATTAACTTTAATACATTCGCACTATTCGTCGCGTATTCTTGGTATTCGTCAAATGTTATCACTGTGGAAAGATCGGTCATATTCGACGATTTTGTAAGGGTTATTCCAAGGAAAAGGAAAAGGAAAGAAAGCATGACAAACAAGGCAATCAGAAAACTTGGAAAGGTAAATCTCGTCAAACTTAGAGTTTGGGTCTGGTTGTGCATAGTCTTGCTGTTGGGAACGGGAATATTCCTGGTGGGACATGGATAGTCGACTCAGGGGCTACCAGCCACATGTGCAATAACAAACATCTATTAGAAGACTTTCAAAGTATAGAAGATCATGTGCATGTAATGCTTGGAGATGGAAAAATCCTAAGTGGAATCGGAATTGGTACTGTAACCTTAAACACAAATCTTCAAAATGGAAAGATACAAGAATGTAAATTGCATAATGTACTGTATGTACCTCAACTCAGCTACAATTTGATAAGTGTTGCAAAAGTCACTGATGCGGGAAATGCTATCAATTTTGATCATACGACATGTAAGATTTTTCGCAAAGATGGAACAGTGATTGGTATTGCAAAGAAAGCTGGAAGTTTGTTTGTATTGGATTGCAAGTGCACGTTTGAACAGGTAAAAGTCATGAATGAAGAAATTGGAACATCTGATGAGATGCTGTGGCATCGACGTCTTGGTCATCTTGGAGGTCACAGATTGAGACAAATGGTGAATGAAAATTTAGTGAAAGGATTAACTTCTGACATCAAGAAGAATCTAGAATTCTGTGATGAATGTGCAAAACGAAAGCTTCATCGTAATTCGTTTCCTCGTGGTGAAGCAAACAGAGCATCTGATCCTCTTGGTCTAGTGCACAGTGACGTCTGTGGGAAATTAAATGTAAAATCCTATGGTGGTGCAGAATATTTCTTGACGTTTACTGATGATAAAACTCGATATGTTTGGATTTATCCTTTGAAACAGAAAAGTGAAGTATCCAGCAAGTTTCAGGAATGGAAAGCTTCTGTCGAAAAAGCAAGTGGGTTTAAACTTAAAACCTTAAGAAGCGACAACGGCTGCGAATTCACGTCGAATGAATTCAAGAGCTACCTAAAATCAGAAGTAATCAAGCAAGAGCTCACCATACCAAAAACACCGGAGCAAAATGGTGTAGCTGAACGTCTTAACTGAACGCTGATGGAGTCTTTTCGTACCATGTTGATACAAGCAAAGCTGCCGCAAAGATTTTGGGTTGAAGCACTTACTGCAGCCGTGTATGTACATAATAGAAGCCCCACGAAAAGTTTTATTGAAGATGACACCATTTGAAGCTTGGTCAGGTGCGAAACCAGACGTCAGTCATTTAAGAACATTTGGTTGTGTTGCCTATGTTCATGTACCGAAGGACGAGAGAAGAAAGCTGGATTCAAAAGCTAAGAAGTGTGTTCTGCTGGGATATGGTGCAGAAACTAAAGGTTATCGTTTGTTTGATCCAGATTGTTCTAGAGTCATTTTTAGTCGTGACGTCAAATTTAGTGAAAAGCAGTATGGATTTGAGAAGGAGCCTGAAACAAACGAGAGTCCACCGCGACGTGTGATCTTACAGCTTTCTGATGATGACGAGAACAATGACGATGGTGAAAACAACGAAGTTAATGACGTACCACTGGTTCTCCCGGTAAGACAACGACGCCCACCGGACCGTTACGGAGAATGGGTTACCATTGTCTACGAAAATAATGCAGAACCAAAAAACTTTGGTGATGCACTTGCTGACCAAAATGTCGATAAGTGGAAAAGGGCTATGCAGGAAGAGATTGACTCGCTCAATGAATATGAATATGATGTTTGGGAACTGACAAAACTACCTGAAGAACGTAAGGCAGTTGGATGCAAATGGGTCTACAAGATCAAACGCAATTCAAATGGCGATGCTGAAAGATTCAAAGCTCGATTAGAGGCGCAAGGCTATACACAAAAATATGGAGAAGACTACGACGAAACGTTTTCTCCAGTAGTGCGATTCGAATCAATTAGAAGTGTAATTGCCTTATAAGTCCAGAGAAAATTGCAGTTGCATCAAATGGATATCACAGCAGCATTCCTGAACGGAGAGTTAAATGAAGACGTGTATATGAAGCAACCGCAAGGTTTTGAAGACACCAATAGAAAGGACTACGTGTACAAGCTAAAGAAGAGCTTGTATGGGCTCAAACAATCGTCTAGATGCTGGAATTCTGTTCTGCATGAACACTTGAAGTCTATGGGATTTTGTCCCTTGTATCTACATCAGAGATGACAAGGGAGACATATTTATTATTGCAGTTCATGTTGATGATTTAATTATGGCTGGCTCGACCAAAGAAAAGATTGCAGAGGTCAAAAATAAGATCGCATCTAAGTTTAAAGCAAAAGACATGAGTCCACTAAGCTATATCCTTGGATTGCAAGTCATCCAGAAGAATGTAAGCGTTTGGTTGGGACAAACTACCTACACTAAAACCATTTTAAACAAGTTTGGAATGGAGAATTGCAAACAAGTAGGAACACCTGTTGAATCGTGTTCGAAGCTTATGAAATGCACAGAGGACAGTGAGATGTTTGATAAACACAAATATCTGTCAGCAATTGGTAGTTTACTCTATTTATCTTCGGCTACACGTCCTGATATAACGTTTGCAGTAAACAACGTCGCAAAATTCAGTTCCAATCCTATACAAGAGCATTGGACAGCAGTAAAGAGAATTTTCCGATATCTGAAAGGAACATTCGATTATGGCTTACATTACACACCCGAAACAAGTTTGGACTGCGTTGGATTTTCTGATGCAGATTGGGGTGGAGATATTAACGATAGAAAATCAACATCCGGATATATTTTTCTAATGAACGGTGCTGCAGTCAGTTGGAAAAGCAAGAAACAAAGCTGTGTAGCATTGTCGACTGCAGAAGCTGAATATATAGCGTTGGGATCAGCTGTTCAAGAATCAATTTGGATTCGTCAATTACTTAAAGATCTCAATGTTGATAAGAAAGATCCTTTGAAAATCTACGAAGATAATCAATCAGCTATCTCCATGGGGAAGAATCCTCAATTTCATGGAAGATCAAAACATATAGAAATAAAGTATAATTTTCTTCGAGACCATATAGAAAAGAAATCCGTGAACATTCAATATTGTGCTACAAACGAGATGTTAGCAGATTTCTTGACAAAAGGAATAAGTAAGGAACAGTTTGAAAAACTACGACAAAAGATTGGAGTCGTATCAGAAGAACAATTAGATATTTAACTGCGAATGAGAAGGAGTATTGGTGTTTATTTAAAGTAGCATTCGTATTAAATATACTAACCGCTGACCATATACCAAATATGGTGATATGAACAAAACGTGCTATATACGTTTTTCTAGTGAGGTTATTATTGTTGAGCTATCTTATGTAAAACTTTTACTTTCTTGAATAAAATAAATCGTTCTGAACTATTCGCGATCCACCGACATATTCAACAAGTCGATAATTGTGTTCGAAGAAAATGCGTAATTCTTGCTGCTTGCTCAACCTTTGACGGCCTGAAAAGAGCGGATTGCGATCACGGTACAGCATGAAGAAAGCGTCAACAGAGAAACGAAAATTCGCACTGACGATATCAGTTCAGGGCTGTAATTTGTTGAATTTTGATAAGATTTAGTATGACTGTAAATGATCGATTGAAAAGCATTAATGGTGACTCTATTTTAACTCTAAAATGCTTTTTATCACACACGTGTAATCCATTGACTCCAGAAAATACTTACTCACCAATATGTCCGATCTCCTTTACTCAAATACATAAAGGATAGCTTATACCGGAGATTCTTCACAGAACATAGACTTCGTTTACTCTCCAACGAAGGACAATAAGAGAATGAAACAGGAATTACCCCTTTCGTTTTCTGTTTAACAAAATCATGCGTGTGGGCAACGCCAATTCTATAAACAAATAAAATACTTGATGGCATGGTTTCTCGCGCGTGTCTCGCAATTCGAAGAAATTTGTGAAAGTGATACCAACGCGTCATGATAAAATTGCTTTACTGCATACGGTTAAAGTATTTTTATGAATATTTCTTAAAATCTGGTTCGTGTTAATCACAATCAAATGTTTAATCACAAGTAAAATGAAAACATTATGTAACTATTAGTTATATTCCAGCTGAATATTTCTAAGAAAGTGAACAATTCCACAGTCACAAACAGACAAAATAATTCCAGGAAAAGCGAGTTGTGAAAAAGTGCATTCATAGTATTGTACTACCATTTTGTTCTTTCTATCTACGGAGACTATATTTGAAACAAAAGAAAAAACTCATCGTAAGCAACGTCAAAATCGAAACAAAATACAATACCAATACTAACAACACGGAAATACAAACACAAAGTATATTTGAGGAAACAGCACGTGCCGTGCACAATGCAAGTAGAAGCCTTCACTCGGAAGTATTCGTCTGGTTTGATGATTGAGTTCTATTAAATTGTCTGGATGGGGAAAAGGGGTCTGTTATCAGAAATATGGCGCGAATAGGAAATTTCGGATGAAAATCTTCCACTTTGAAAATTTTTTTGTCATTCACTCCCTCCTGATTTCTAATGAACTTAATACTTACGCCATTCAACACCAATTCAACCAGAGTTAAAAACTCAAGAACCATTACGCATTCTATGCAAAGATATGCTTTAGCGTTTTATAGAACACACGCGCAATTATACGAAGAAAATCTACGGTAAAGAAACTTCAACTACAGTTCGTTCTCTGTATATGTATTCGTAGTAAAGAGCTTGACACAAATATCTTTATTGTTCGTCTGGCTTGATGATTGAGTTCTTTTAAATTACCTGGAAAGGAAAAGGTGTCTGGAACCGGTTATCAAAAAATATGGCGGTGAATAAGAAATTTTGGATGAAAATATTCCACTTTCAAAATTTTGAAGAGTTTTAGTAATTGGAGTTATATTGGGGAAACATGGCACACTTCCTCGACGCCAGAATCTGACAACAACTCCATGCATTGGCTGAAATAATATATAATCCGTTGCTTAATCAGTAAATTTCTACTTTATCATAATTTAGAAATATACCCATCACATATAGAAATATAGTATAAAATTTCACATCATACACATATCACTTCATTCACTATTCATAACTATCATTTATCACGCATCCGTCGAAAGATAAAGCTGGTTACGCGAAAGCCCGTGAGTAATTAATAAAAAATTAAAACGCAGCGAACATTGATTCTATTTATTATCATATGTCGAAACCTGATCACATTTGAGCAGTAGTTTCTATGAAAGAAAATGCAAAAAATGTAGAACGATGGAGAATAATTGAAAAATAAGAATTTGCATTAGGTTAATGATGAATATAATGCAACAATTTATTTTAGTAAAAATGATTACAATTGCGATGCATTTGTCATTTTTTAATAACAATGTAACGTAACAATGTAAAATAGTTTCATGAACAAACTTTGTTGGTAAAACTCAAAAAGAATAAAAAAACGTTAAAAGCTAGAATGTCTTTAAGAGTCAACTACAAAATCAACTTCAAGGTTTTTTTGACCATTCTTTGGACGGTTCGGACATTTTTTGGTTAACGTGATTCAATTTGTCAGCCTGTGGCGAATTATAGTAATGGTAAAGCCACCTGTAATGTGATGCAACATGACCATAGTTGACGCGATCATTCTTCATTAAGTTAAACATTTGTCGTCGCAAATTATGCAAATGTTTTTCATCTTGTTGGTGTACTGATTTGGACATACCCTCCTCACTTCTTGGAAATCCTTTCTTCACTGAAGAATGGGTTTCATCAAAGGACAAGGATCCGTCCTTTTCTTTGTCATTTTCACATGTCTCACATTTGCTCGGCTGAAATATTTAAAGAGGAAGAATACGGTTGAAGAAATCAACAAGAAACATGAAATGACGCAAAGGCAAAATCATTGCATTTTTCGGAGCGACTTTACATACGATATGACTATCATCACTTTGCATTATTTAATTTACAATTTCCTCAAAAAGGTTATGAAAAAGTCACATAAAATACTTAAAACATTGCTATCTTACACGTAGAACTTAACCAAAGAAAAGAGGATTTATGAAATCATCTCGTCAACATGTACGTATTGCGGCCAATTTACTTTTAAAAAATTGCAGATTTTATTTTGTACAAGTATTTTTATTGCCTCTAAATAACAAAAAGGAAGAAAACGTAGGAATCCGTATTTCGTATACTTATTGCCTCAGCTATGACCATCATGAGTGAACTGGGTTCACAGTAATTTTTTCAACAACGTTAAAAAAACACAGGTTTTCCCAAAATCGTTTCAAAGTAAAAAGGTCAATGACCATGGAAAATGTTTTTTAAAGGAATATCTTTTATATAAATGAGTCCACTTCATAAAACGTCACCAAGGCTTGAGTGCTCACATTGTTTGGGAATTATATTGCTTGGCTTTTGCACAGTTCTAGTTCATTTTTTGCTATTACAGGCTTTAAAAAGGCCCAAAATAACAATTCTTCGTTTATCGATGAGAGCCCTGAAAAGAATTACTGCGTTATATTCATTAAATTGCCTACCTGTAAATTGCATTTATCGTAGTTCTCGTAAGCTTTTAAAACTGATGTACTCAATTCATAGTCGAAAGATTCATCGGTAGGAAGAGAACTGGCAAAGGGAACTTGGCATTCAGGAAGTTCACCAACAGCTATTCCCATGCCCATCGTCAAATGATGATCTATATGGCAATGCATAAACCACCAGCCTGGGTGGTTAGGCAAAAACTCGATCACGACGTATCCTCCGGCTGGCACTGTTATCACATCTTTTCGCACTGTACTTTGGTCGATGTAGAGATCTTTTGGAGAAATAACTTGGTTGTAATTTTTATAAATAATGGTACTTACTTTCGACAGCGACTACGGATAACTCAAGAACGAGTGAGTTTTTCAAAGACTGCAACGAAATAAACGACGAGTGCTAATTGCAGTCTATGAAAAAACTCGCTAGTTACGTTAAATGCGAGAAAAACAGTTCTGTTACTAGCTAATAATATAATTTCAGATATATTTTGCAAGAGTCTACTTCAGTCTTGCTTTGAAATACCTCGTTACGTTGCCCAACTTTTTACAAGCAGTAACCACAAAAATAGTGCTTAATTCCTTTAGTAATTTTATTCTTTGCAGTGTTTTGAATTCCTTGTATTTCATGCGGTTGCATTTCTGGAAATCTTTGTTAAATTAAAATTGCCGTCATGTTTTTTTTGTATAAATGCAGTCAAAATACTGTCATATTTTTCCATTTGTAAAATCTGTTCAATCATATCATACATTAGTCAAAGCCCTAGAACATTGGGCTGTATATTGCTAGCAGCCACACCTCTCGGTTTTATAATTCGAAAAACACAAATGACCATAAAAACATAATGATAGAATCAACTTTACCAATTTCATTGGGGTGACCGACTCCAAAATTTACTACTATCATTATTTTCTGGCACAAAAATGTCACTGCGATTCAACGAGCACTAGAGGAAGGAAATTTTAAGCTCTCAAAGGCTCTTATTTATACCTGAAGGTCTTTTATCATCAGTCCAATGTCCTGGACCGCAAAGCTCGACTGTGACATCCCCATTTTGCTTATAGACAAAGCCGTTTTGGTCGTACTTAGCATATCCTATTTTTGTAACAAAGAAAGAATGACCATGAAGATGAATTGGATGTGTTCTGCTTGCGTTAATAGATTTGTGAGAAAAAGGAGTCAATGAAGAAAATATGAATCGGGTTGTTCTCTGCTCTCCATTTGAATGGTGAATATATACAGCATGTGAGCAGATATCACACACTTTATCCTTTTCTTTTTTCGAACTATTGTCTATAGTGTCGTATTTACATTCATCCAGAGGCCGTAGATTGATATCCGGGTTAGTGAAAGGAATAGAAGGAAGAAGAAAGCTAACACCATTTACCACCGCATAAGTTTTTGGTCCTTCCACGTCAACAGTGTCTGGGTTATCCACCTCCCAACCTTTTCGGAATCCGAAGTTGAAGAAATACTCATCAATCAATTTTTCATTTTTGGTGGGCATTTCGTCCTTAGGTGTGTGGTGTAAAAGTTGCAAAGTAGTTACAGGTAGACATAGAATATCTTGAGAGGGGTAATTTTTGAACGGACAATTGATGGCCGTGCAAGAAATATCATCACACCGTTTTTTTTGGCCGTACACATCGATCAATTTTTTTTCTTTGCATGGATATTCGCTTTGCCAATACTGGAGATAGGCAAACCCAGTGTGATGGACGCTAGTATTGCAATTCAACCCAATCGATTCGATTCGGATCGGATATACTTCGCAACATGTACTATCATCTATGGTCTTCTCTTCAGGAGGAATCACCTCGATGTCGTATCTTTCCCCGACGTGAACAACCAAGTAATCGACAGTTTTTTTAAGTGTCGAATACCCGTCTGCGGCAATAACATTTAATTTGTGCCCGTCTATGGACAAACGAAAAGCGTTCGCAAACATAACACCAATCACGCGGAACCGATATCTTCTTTTATATGTAACATAAAATAAGGGCGCAAATTGGTTGCTATTTAACTCGGTACCCAATTCGTACTCATTTATTCGAATAGAAGTAATTTCTCCAAATAACACAGGAGGCTTAGAATGATCTGGTTCGCACTCTGTCCAATTTTCCTTTTCAAATTCGTGCTCTCTTATGGCAATAACATTTTTATTTGGTTCGTCTATAATGTCTGGATAGTCTTGAACATCTGGCAATACTATTAAGACACCATAAATTCCTTTATCTCGTTGACTTTTCACGTGTGAGTGATACCAATGTGTCCCAGCAGGCCAGGCCTTGAACACATACCTTTAAAAATACAATCATGTTATAACAGTAATAGTGAATAATTAACAATTGTCTACTGAGAAAGAGGGAAACACAGCACTCAAAAGTTCACAATTATACAAGCGAAAACTGAGTTTGCAACAACGTGAATAAATGTAGTGGCGATTATTTAAAGATACCTCAAAATATATTATTGACCTCAGAAAGTCTTGGAAGCAATATAATACTTGTATATTTGAGTTTTGTTCTAAATGTATTTTTGATTTAAAACTTGAGAACAATGGCAGCCGGGCAAACTCAAAAAGTGGAGTGGAGGGGAGGGGCAACTAAAAAGGGCATTTATATCTTGCAATTCATTCATTTCATTAAAATGCACCAAAAAATAGCCTATAATTCCTTTTCAAAAAGCAATGAGGAATCTCATCATGTTTGTCGTTGTCTTCAATCTCTTCTCTTTAGCAATGCGTTTGTACTGCTCTATTTGTGTTGGTTGAGGTCAAATAAAAACGGCTAGGTCTAGCACGATCTTTAGCGCACTGTCAATAATTTGCTTTAATTTGCGTTGTCATGCAAAGCTAAATCAAGGCTGTAGTTTGTGCAACAATATTTGTCTCACATGTGTAAATTAGGTAAAGCAATTTTGTCATTTCAAAATTCAAGAAATTTAATATGGGCAGTGAAGCGTTTGAAAAGAACTTTCCTTTCGTTAAAAGGTTGTCTCAGAATAAATTAAATATTTGCTTTTGCAAATAATGCCTAAATAAAGCAGCTAATAAAAAATACAGAGTACCTTTTAAATAATTATCGCGCTTTTTTGGTCGAAGTCAGACTCTGATCAAAATATTTGTAGGTAAACAGCTATAATAATCTTTTCAATTACACGTATTACACCCTTCACCAATAGAAGAGCAGAAAAAAGAACTTCTAAGTTTGAAGGAGGAAGATCTTTTTCTTGCACTACGAGGTATTCGGAATTTTACAAAATTTACACTAATTACGAAGATTTCTCACGTCTTTTTCGATAAATTTCTCAAAAGCGAGTCAATCAACGTCCATATATTTTCGCATCGTTTAGTTTATCTAGAAGTAAAAACAATCAAAAAATAAATCTTGAAAACCGGAAAAGCGGTTTGTAAAGGCGTCAATTTAAGCCGCTGGCGCAAACAGAATGAAATGTTTGAAATTTAATTTCATTCGATGAGGCATAAAAGTTTAAATTCTGTTGTGCCTTGAACCAAAATTTTGAAAAATTTGAGAAACATTAAGTTCGCTGCAAAGCTGTCTAAACTGGAAGGTTTTGAAGTTTCTTCATTTTCGTCAAACTTGTTGCTTTTACAAATTTAAGTCTTTATTGTTATTTACGTCATTCAAATAATCAATAACTCACGTAATCACTCTTAAATAAGAAAAAAAGTATATAAAAATGGCGTGAAACACAAAAACGTCCAATTTAGACACATTGCTCGGTGAACTTAATGTTTCTAAAATTTCTAAAATTTTGACACAAGACAGAACAGAGTTCGAACTTTCCCCTCATTGAATAAAATTAAATTTTAAGCTTTTCATTTCATTTGGGCAAGCGGTCAAAATTGAGGCTTTTAGCCTTTTACAAACCGCTCTCCCGGTTAACGAGATTAAATTTTTAGATTATTTCAACTTTTATATAAACCAGATGATGCCAAAATACATAAACGATGACTAATTTCTGAGAAACTTTGATGAAATGATAGTTTTCAGGACATTCTCAAATTGTCTACATTTTTTTCATACACCGGCCCTCACTCTCTTTCACCCAGAATCAATGTTTTCTTTCCAACAACAACTATTTCATACGAACCTTAACGCTTCTGATGGCCTGATGGGTTCTTGACTTATGTTTGCAACACCGTCCATGTAAGCAGTGTTATATTGGTGCATGCCATGCCAGTGAATCGATGTAGTCTCATTTTTCAGGGAGTTGAACACATCAACGACCATGTAAGTATTTATCTTTGCAATCAATGTCGGACCCATTTTCTCATTGTTGATAAAGTATACATTGTTGGAATCCTCTTCAGTATCAGGTGCTAATGGGTTTCTAGTTATATTTAACTTGATCATGCAATCTCCAACGCCCAGTTTCGTGCAATCACATACTGAAGGAAGATGATCTTTTGCTGGCGTACACTTGACATATTTACTTGCCGCATCCATATCAAAAAACACTTGAAATGTGAACACGAACAGAGTAACGGATAGTAAAATCGTCCCTAGTTAATAAAAGAATTCGCGCATCAAAACTGCTAAGTGGTGGATTGATAGCAAAATATATTAATGTCATGAGCATCCAATCTTAAATACTGACTCAAGAATATTGATAAAAACGTTTTTATTGTATTACAGAATAAAAAGTTTAATGTTAGACAAACATGATAGAATAGACTAACAGGGGCAAATTCTTTACGTATTAATATGGAAAAATTTCATTTCAGAATATCAAACGTAAAATTTCCATGGAAGTATCGAAATTTAAACATATTTGTCGGTCGTTTTCTTTCCTGTAATGGCCAGCAGTTCTCTTACATGTAATTCAGGAGCGGATCTAGAGTATGTCAAATCAGTCACCCGACTGATGTTTATAATTCAAAACTTATTTATCAAATTTAATGATTACAATTTTTTGTGATCATTGAATTCCCGATGTATAATCGTATGAATTTCATTGTCAAAACTCTGTTTTATATCTGAAATCTTACGTAAATATCACGTTGGCAAACAGATCAATAGATTTTATCATATCTGGAATTATATATTAACTGACTAACTGATAAGCGGGGTGGCTCGACTGGTTGGATCGATAACGGAGTTCAAAATATCCATCACTGTTCCGATAACGGAGTTCAAGATATCCAAGACAGTTCATAGATGTGAAAAAGCTCAGACTTCAAACGATGCAAGTTTTTTTGTAACCCTTTACCCATATCCAGATCAGTGGACGATCTGTCAGAAAAAAATTTTGAGTTTTTTCTCAAAAGGGGAATTTCCTGGCACTGTATGTGGATATGGGTAAAGGGTTACAAAAAAACTTGCATCGTTTGAAGTCTGACCTCTTTCACATCTATGAACTGTCCTTTGTAATACCTCATTTCTAACTCAACTCATTACACAAAGTTGTGAATGGAGGTCTCTAGGGGGATCTATGCCTGACAACTTGGTACAAATTTTTAAAGACTATATCTTTTTTAGAATAGCATTATTTTGAAGTAAATTTTATGTTCATAGGCATGTAGTAAATGAGCTTTATATTTGGCATGATAACGAGCCTAAATATTTGGCAAAAATTCAAGTAATGTTCATTTCAGTTTTTTTTTGAAAAAAGCGTAAGCAAAATGTGCTGTTTTTACGCCAAAACGATGCCCACAAAAAAAATTTTGTACTGTTCTAAAACGCTGAAAATGGCATCTCCAAGGCTTTGCAATTCAAAATTTTCCAGGAGAGAGTACCTCGGACCCCCCCAGGTGTAGAACGCTTTCGGCGTTCCTGACTGATGTTTGAAAAATCCTGGGTTCGCCCCTGGTGTAATTTTACAAAAAATTCAAACAAACTTTATGAAGCAAACGCTAAACGTTTAGCAAAAGAAAAAAAAAACAGAGAAAAAATCATACACGAATGTGCGTCGAAAAAAACACTCAGAATGTGTGTTTTGACAAAATTCTAAACGATTTATTTTTTACAAATAAAAACTAGAGGAGAGAAAGATAACCTTTGCATTAAAGCAAGGGTTATTTCCATTGAGTTCTATAATAACTGGAGCGGCTATCTCAAACACGGCTTAATTAGCGGCTGACGCCCAAAAAATGGAGGATTTGTTCCATTACCGCTGAGATTTACCGAAATTGACTACTTTTCCGAAAATCTCACAATTTCTCTCTCCCCCGTTAAGAAAGGGTGAGAAAAAAGTATGTATGTTTTTCGCATATTTGGCAAGCATTTTATGATGAAAATCACTGTAAAAACATAAATTTCATAAAAGCGAGTCTAGTGTGGTTGCCAGTTGTCGGCTTTTACGACGGATGCCTTTTTTAACTATTGACGAACGAGCTATTTGTTGGCCACATATGAATGCAGATGTGCGCGTCGTAACTGTCGTTTAATGATTTGCTCAATCAAAGTTTGTAGTCTGCACGAAAGAAAATATATCATAATTTATCTCAACAGATCACGAGAGAAATGTTAGCTCATTTATTCTCTTTAGTTTTTTGCTGTCTTTCACGTGATAGCCTTTATCGCAACAATTGTAGCATTTGTTTTTGTGCATGCATCTCACGTTTCGTAAATGAATAATGAAAAAATAATAATTGAGGAAATAACAGTTCCTTGCGCACTAATTTTTATACATATTTTACCACGTGATTCAGTATTCGGCCATGGAAACAAGTCTGCCTTCAACCCGGTGGGGTGGATCTAGAATTTTTCAAACATCAGTCATAAAACGTCGGAGGAGCTCCGCACCTGGGGGGGTCTGAGGCATTCTCCCCTGAAAAATTTTGAAATTCAGAGACTTGAAAATGCCATTTTCAGCGTTTTAGAGCAATACAAAATGTATTTTGTGGGCATCGTTTTTGCGTAAAAACAACACATTTTGCTTACGTTTTTTTCAAAAAAAAATGAAGTGAACAATACTTGAATGTTTTGCCAAATATTTAGGCTCATTATCATGCCAAATATATGGCTCATTAGCATGTCTAGGAACGTAAAATTTATTTTACAATAATGCTATTCAAAAACAGATATAGTCTTTAAAAATTTCTACCAAGTTGTCAGGCATAGACCCCTAGAGACCCCCATTCAAACCTCTATGTAATGAGTTAAGTTAGAAATTTGGTACTACAAGTGACAGTTCATAGATATAGAAAAGCTCAGACTTCAAACCATGCAAGTTTATTGTAACCCTTTACCCATCTCCACATCAGTGCCAGCAAATTCACTTTTTGAGAAAAAACTCAAAATTTTTTTCTGCCAAAGATTAAGCAAAAATTATCAGAGTGAAAATTTGCAGTTAAGGACAGCTTAATGCCATAAATGTTTATTAGGCATTTCACTAGACTATTATCTTCTGTAAGTATATGCAAGGTGTGCTATATAGCAATCACTAGTAGCATTGTATTTGCAAATACAAACAGAATGTAACCAACATGTCTTTAATTATATAATTACATGAATGTTAAAATTGGTTCATGTGTCATGCTTACTGGTTATGATAAATATCTTTTCATATGATCAAAGCTTGTTTAAATGTAAATCTGAAATAATTTAGTTTAGAAATTATAATGATCATCAGAAAAATTACCTAGTGATCATGAAAAATACTTTGCTGTTTTGCCAAATTTCAAGGTTTATCTGCATACATAGGAAGACATTTTACTTTATGGAAAATGCTTTTCATACATCAATAGCCCTTTGGAATTTATGACAAACAATCTGGTATGAGCCGTAGATTAACACACCTTTACATCTCTACATGAGGTGTTCAGTTAGAAAAGGGGACAATATGTGACATGGGACAACATTTCATGTATGTGAAATACTCAGGTTTAATACCATTCCAGTCAAATTGTCAAAATAAAAAGCTTCATGGATCAGAAGACTCAAAATCACAGGTTATAGTAAACAGCTTCTCATGTAATCAATGTTAGTTTTCTCAAATCTTAAACAATATGTAGTATAACTGTCTAATGATTGAATGATCAGTGATCATAAACTGAAAAGCCCCAAACATTTCTTTATGATAAAGTAAATAATAGTATGGCGCCTTATGGCAACAGATTTTTTGTCCATTGAAATATATTTGCAGGAATGTAAGATTTCGCTGCCATATAACGGCCACAATTCCCCAAGCACTAAAGAAATCATAGTTAAAAGTCCTTCGGCAACAACAATTTTAGAAGCATCAATCTGCTTACCATACGCCATATTGACATAAATCGCATTACACACTCGCATAAATTGACTTTGATCTATTACATTCATGCATACACTTTACTTGTCCTTTACTTACGATTTTAGATGTAAATTTCTGCTGATAAAACTCAAAACAATGTTGGCTTTCTTTTGAACATCAATGACTGAGATGTCGCTCGCGAGATCGTCTTTGCCAAGCATTTACAATTTATCCATAAATTTTTCACCCTCTTAAAAAATTCACAGTTTGGACAGCAGCATTCATGTCAATATATGAATTTGTAAAAGATTTCCATAAATTCCATCTGATTGTAGTTTAGTTTCTATCATGCTTATAAAAATTACTATGAAACGATCAAACATTCAATTCAGACAGTAAGCTTGACTATGTTAGTTCAGTCGAAATCCGTCAAACCAATCACTGATCTGGCCATTGACCAATAAAATAAGCGTTTTTGGCGTTCATAGACTCCTTTATCCGTCGAACCAGTCAAGCCACCCCGCTTATCAGTCGGTTATTCCAGGTCAATTAAAATTCAACTGATCTGGTTACCAAGGAGATATTCATTGGATTAGTCATTAGTTTTCAATAATAAATAAAGCTGGATTTTTATCACGAAGTAAATGCGATAATAAATTAAGAACAATTAATTAATATGAATAGTTAATTTTTGAATTTCAAACATCAGTCACGCGACGGATTTGACATACTCTAGATCCGCCCCTGATAGGAGATATGTTAATCAGAGAGAAACGAAGAGAGGGTAGGACACACTCTTAAAATATACAAAAGTACTGGGGAAGTTTGTTACTATTTAGTTTATTTACTCAAAGCAGTCCGCGTGCTAAGGTCATGAAGTTCAATGTTAATTGCGGGCACTGCAAGAGCGAACAGGCTGTTTGCTACAATTATTTGCATTAGGGAGCTTTAGCAAAGACTACGAGTACGACTACAAGTACGAATTACGTTATTTTGGCGCGAAAACATTGTTGCGACAACAACAACAAGTAGCCTTCATCAATCTGAGTACGATGCTTTGTAAAAAATTTGTAGTCGCGACTACGATGTCTTTTTAAGCAAAGAAAGTTAGTATATTTCTTCATTGTGTATTACAGTACTATTTTCGACCATCCAAGCTTTACTTTAGAACCTTTTTTTGAGCGCTGATGTACATTTATAGGAAAATACGACCTGCGAAACTTTCATGTATTTCGTACGTAAAGTGAAAGGTAAACAAACAATAAAATAGTACAAATATATCCTACATAAGATTGAAAATAGGGAAGATTTTTCAGTCTAAAGAGTCCTATATTCTCGCAAAATCAGTATTACCGATTCGTCGATATAATTATTGACTAATAGAGCCGTAGCTGCTTCGCAAACGTCGATGTTTTTTATACAATAAAAAGGCTCGTTCTGTTGTTTACAACTAAGGCAAAATTTTGACGAAGCGACAACGACAACAAACCTACTTGTGCCATTCCCATACATGGTCAAACTTCGTACTCGTTGTTGCAGCAGTCGTACTCTTGCTAAAGCTCTCTATTTTGTTCACAAGCACATAGGATTCACGTGCACAGGTGATAGATTTATAGGTAATGCACAAACAAATCACATGTCATTCAGCAAGTGGCTGTCCTCAGGTGAAGTTTAATAAAAAATCCACACTTCCCTCCCTTCCTTTCTCTCTGTCGATTTTGCATGTACTATTTTAGACTTGTTTCTGGGGTGGCGTTTTTATCACCAAACCTTTTCTGTGCTATACAGAAAAACTTTATCCGTAAAGATTTTTGTTTAAATTGTGTAAAATAATTACTTTAAATTATACTATACTTGTTCTTTCTTTTTTATTAAACAGGCATGCGGTTTCCACATTGCAAATTTTTATCCAGAAGAGAGTACTCTTTAATGTCATGCGCACAGAAAACAGAGTTTATCATCCTCAGAACCTCCTTTAGATTTTGATTTTGCTATGATTAAGCGGAAGCGATAAATGCAATGCAAACTAGGTTACAGCGCTCATAGAACGCCTGTACAATGGTAAATTTGTGCGAAATCCTTAAGAGTTCTGTTAAAGCCATGTACTCCTTTCTCAATTTCTAATGTTGCATTTCAAGACCTCTTTCCAAAACAGCAATTTTTAGGGGGCACACGTCCCACACCCAAAGGTCTCCTTGGCGATGTCACTGCTTCGAAAGATAAATTTACATGCAAGGCTAGTTCTTTGTATGACCACAAAATAAACACGAATAGCATAACACAAGAGTATGTTTGCGTGGTGAACGTTTACCTTGTGTAATTTGGTAAATCAATATGTCATTTATACCCAGCAGAGTACCGAGAAATTCACAGTTAGCCAGCTCGGGCGTTCACAATAAATGCTGGTTGCGAAACAAACATTCAGTGCATCCTTGTCATAAACGCATGACGATGCACGAACATACAACAAAATACGAGTAAAATAATAGTGTAAAAAACCACGTTTTAACTTCCTAATCCTTGTTTCCAAGCATTTGGCGTTGAAGCAACGACAGATATTTTAAACAGAAAAGTTTGTGTTTTAGGTGCTACTGCACGAACTATAGTAATAAGAAAGACATCGTCAGATTATGCATTTCTTTATTTTTAGTGAGCTGTAAGCGTGTCAACGTCTATCACGACTACAATAACTGAACCAGTGCACAAGTACAAAGACGATATGTTAACTTCCTTGAACTATTCGCCGAAAATTAGTGTTGGACTTGACTTCGTAGATCGAATTATTAACCAGAGAAACATTTTCTGTTATAACCTAGCCAGCGCAAATTCGGCTCTAGTTGACAATGTCTAACGAAAGACCCAGCAAATAATTAAAAGGTAAAACCCGGGATTTGCACGGGGAAATTTTCCAAGCGTAGTATATACGATATAAACCAACAAAACAAAGAAAACGTTTGGTAGAATATTTTTGATACAACTCAAAGAAAAAGTGATACATAAAAAAATTCATAGATGGTCACACTTACCCATGTTGCCTGCGCTGCTCATACACTTGAAATGGCGATGTACACGGATTAGCTGACTAATATGTATCTTCAAAAATAAATCTTACGATTATTCATCACGTAGAGGCGAGAGAAGCAACTCCATGCGCATGACCGTCATGGTCTCATGATGCCATACACCCGTTTTGAAGACCTTGTGCCAAAATAAATATTCGAGTAAGACTCCATTTCTCCGATTATTATGTGATGATAATGTCCATACTTTCTTGTGTAAATCATAGTTAGAGCAAAGAATACCATAATGACTGCAGCATTAAAGCAAAATTCAATTTCGTGTACAGTATTCAGAGGCATGCTTGGTTTCACTGACGAGTACTTATGACTGTGAATCCAATATTTGCATCGCAATTACAGCATCAAAATAACAGAAACGCCTTTAGAGATACGTCATTACTTTCGACAGAAATACAAGATTATTAAAAGTCTCCTTCTTATACTTATGAGTGTTTATTCCTGTGTTTACGTCGCAGATGAAAACCAAATGGGCGCCTGACCGCCATGATTCTGCCGTGCGCAAATTCTTACGAAGCGACATCCTAATAATAATATTTGCGCAATAACAGCACTAAGTTTCGAGAAATATCGTTTCCTTTAGATAGTAACGCAACTATAAATAGTGATTTAGAAATATAAAAAATCCAGACAAAATTTCGCATGTGAAAGTTTGTTTGCGGGAGGCAGTTATGCGCAAATAATCTCAATATAGGGCATAATTGATACTTCTATTTGGTAATAGTATTGATAGCTGTGCATAATCTGTGACGGTATTTTTTAAATTTTACCATCTTGACATTTGTTGGTCAATTTTAAAAGCATCATTTTACAATTCAAGCACTACTCAACCAAATGTTGAATTAGGTAAGGAAATATTTAAAGATTAATGCATATGTTAATTTTATGAGATAAGGGTAGGTGGTATGATATTTGCACATTGTAGGAACATTGACATTGATAAAATGACCTTCCTTTTCATTCAATTGATATTGGTTAGTGTCTGCAATCCCATTGAGAAATCTCGAAAGGTCGAATTGCAAGAATCGAAAGATTATTCTTCACATAAACATGTAATTAGCATTCAAAATAAAATTCTTGGGATATAACGAAAAGCACGAACAAGTGAGACATTTTAATCATCCTTGAACAATGTGAAAAACAAAGAAAGCAGTTTAGACGATATGATGTTTCTCACACTACATTTAAATAGCATTCTTATACCACTTTGTTTGTGCGGTTTCCATCCTTTGATCACACGTGAATGCACCGTGTTATTAATTGTAGGAAGAGTTTGATTTGCAATTTAAAAGATTGAATATCAAGATGAAAAATGGTTGCCTTGTTGGAAATTATGACGTTGAAGTAAACAAAAGCAGCGACCTAGCACATTTTATCGTTGTACACCCGACTAAAGTCGTTTTGTACTACCTTTCATTGTTGCATTATGTCTCGATTGCACACACGTGCGTTTATCGGTTGCGTTGTGTTACCAAAATACAATACTATAAAAGCGCAGACTGTTGTAGTTTAGGCTCAAGTAAACAATGCAGAAAGTAAAAACAAGTACAAATCAAGAACTAGTTAAATATTAAGAAATGTATATAATGCACAGAAATTCCGGCGTGGCACAATTCGGGTGAGAAGTGGTGTAATTTTCTAGCAATATCTATAATTTCTAAAATGAATTTAAAGCGCGCTTTAGCATTGTGAGAAAGTGAATAAATTTTGCAAGACAAAGTTCGTTTGCAGTTGTTAGATATGCGTAAACAAGAACAATATAAGGCCTAATTAATACCTTTGTTTGGCAGAAGCATAACAGGTTTACATACCCTGTGATGGTACCTTTTTGAATGGTACAGTTTTAGCCCAAGCGAGTTTGAAATATGTTGAAACATATGCTGAAGGTGTTGAAATATGTTGGATTAGGTTTCAAAATGTTTATACTTCCCTTTGTACAAACATGGACAGTATCAAAATTATCTTTCTTTACAATTGATATTGTTTGTTGTTTCAAGACTACTGCACACAATTGCTAAAGAAAATATTGGCTTGTTTTTTTGTGATTAGTGGCTTCGAATGCAATTAATCCATACCTACACCTGAATAAATTCTGCCTCTAGAATATTTTGGTATGTTTTGAAGTATCTTAGTACGCTTTAAAGTTGAAAAAAGTTATTATTGTTTGGAGGAGGTTGAGCTGCCAAAAATATAGACTCTAGATTCTTGCATTAATATTATATTTGCGTGTTGAAAAGTATTGGCAGGTTGAAGAGGAATTTTTGAGAGGGCGGTGGGAGGCAGACTTGTTTCCATTGCCGAATACTGAATCACATGGTAAAATATGTATAAAAATTAGTGCGCAAGGAACTGTTATTTTCTCAATGAAAATATATAACATGCACTTAACATTGTAAATGTGTATATAGTTCACAGTTGCGCATATAAAATAAGTTTTAGTAAACACGTGACAATAACCAACGTAGATATATTACGATAAGATAAGTATGACCAGAATATGACGCTTATAGAATATTAACAATGTCACGTTATTATTGTCACAGTAAAATTAGTCATTAAAAATAACGAATAAGTCTAATAATAATGCTTTGTGTGCTTAGCCATGCGTAGGCAGCCATTTATTTTCCCACATGTCAATGCAGCGATATGTATACTTCTACTGGTAGATAACGCCAAAGCACGGTTGTCAAATAAACAAAGAAGAAATAACAAGGATCAAATTGAGCAAAGATGTATTTCATGTTTTGATGATAAAGATGTGTATCAATTCTTGAGTTCATTTGTTGGTCGATATACAAAGGCTTCGTACGTCGGTCGAGTAGCTTTGTAGCAGTTTGGAAAAAAGCCAGTTCTTCGTGATCAGGTTGTTCAACTGGCGATCCGTAATAGCTTAAATTGTCTTCCTCTTCATAACGCTATACAGTAAAGTCTGCATCTTATTCAGATTCTAATATTTCTTCCCAATATTGTAGCTAATTATTCATGCAACCATGTATTCAGTTAATGTGATCACAAGCACGCAAAGCATTGCCGTGATACTCATTCTTTAACTTTAATAACTAATTTCATTGTGATAATAATAACGTAACATTTTAAAGCGTCACACTCTGGTCATAGTCGTACTTCATCTACATAAGTTATTGTCACATGTTTACTAAAACTAATTTTATATGCACAATTGAACTATATACATTTACAGTCAGTATGTTTCATAATTTCATCGAGGAAATAGCAGTTCCTCACACACTCATTTTAAGAGGACAATTTAATATGTAATTCAGAATTCTGCAATGGACACGAGTCTGCCTTCCACCGCTTTCCCAAAATTTCCTATTCAACCTGCAAATTCTCTTCAACCCGCAAATAATATATCACTACCAGAATCTAGTGTGTATATCTTTGGCGGATCAACCTCTCTCAAATAAGAATTTTTTTCAACTTTAAAACATACTAAAATGTTCTAGAGGAAGAGTTTATTTTAGTCTAGGTATGGATTGACTGCATTCGAAGCTCCTAATCACAAACAAAACAAGCCAACATTTTCTTTAGCAATTGTGTGCAGTCGCCTTGAAACAACAAACAATATCAATTGTAAAGAAAGATCATTTTGATACTGTCTACGTTTGTACAAAGGGCAAGTATAAGCATTTCGAAACCTAATTCAACATATTTCAACACCTTCAATGATATTCAAACAAAGTCGTTAGGGCTAAAACTGTACAAATCAAAAAGGTACTATCGCAGGGTATGTAAACCTGTTATACCTCTGCCAAATAAAGGTATTAATTAGGCCTTATATAGTTCTTGTTTGCGCACATCAACCACCCGCTAACGAATTGTCTCTTGCAAAATTTGTTCACATTCTCACATTGATAAAGCGCACTTTAAATTTATGATAGAAATTACAGATACTGTGGCTTAAAAGTTGATTGAAAATGTCTACTTGACATTGTCCATGAACTAAAGGTATAATTTCCACGCAGCTGCATTTTACGCTGTAGTTCAAAATGCTTGTGCGCGTTTTTCTTTCAATTGCGAAGAGCAAGAAAACGCAGTCAAAAATTGAATGAATTCAACTTTGTCGCATTGCTCAAGCGTTACTCCAGACCAGGAAAATGTAACTGACCTTTAGCTTTTGCGCCAAAGGAAATGGTTCATATTTTTGTCACTCGCGCGTTTTCAATGGACTTTTTCTCTCTTTACGTCACTTCCGATGCAGGGCCACCTTTTCCTAGGATATAAAAACCCATGAAGATAAAATTGTCATCTTATCAAAAGAATTGTACAAGTTCTTAAAATCCATTAACTATCTATAAAGAAGTTATTTCCCCGAGCCTTCCTTAGGCAATTATATCAAGGTGAGGAAAGTTGTCAAAGAGAGGATGGGTTTTAAGCGCTTTAAAGGTTTGTGTGCATTTGGAAATCCCTGAAACAAAGGAAAACGTTTGAACGTGAATTATTGCTTATCGCAAGTTTTTTCTTTAATGCAGATAAAGTTAATCTTAAACGTATTTCGCAATTCTTTTATTGCATTTTGACATTTATTCTGATTTTGACATTTATTCAACCACAGACGTTTGTCAATGGTTGAAAATTCGAGGTTGCAGACTTTTTGCGATGACAATTCTGGGAGCTATGACTCCTTTGTGGTAACGGACAATTCGCCTTTGATTTGCATGAATTGTTTAACTATATCAAAGTCCCATTTGTTCCGTTTAACTGAAGCCTGAACGCCTCTTAAAATCTGGTTTTCATTCGTCACTTTAATAATTTCTTCGATTGTCATCGCTCTTATAAACACTGTTAAAAGCAATGAAGTTTACATATTCTTCTGTCATCGCTCAACACAGGCAGATGATTTTGCATTCCAATTACCATAAATAACATCGTGAAGCTTATGATCAGTTATTAGAGTAAACTCTTCACCACATGATAATGTAGATGTCAGTTTTTGAAATGCTATATGGTGCACATCCTGCCATTGAAATTTCTTATTCTTCTTTGTTAACTCGCGAAATGGTGCTGTTGTTGTTGCAAAATTTGCGATGTATCGACTACTATATATAATTCGCCATACCCAACAAATGTCATACATCATGAATATTATCAAGCGTTGGCGCATTTTGTAAATCTTCCACAGATTTGAGATCATGTCGTGTTCAGTCGTTAGTAAAAACTTGTCCAAAAACCTTCCCGCTTTTATCTAGAAAGTAAACATTGACAGATCAAGTTGCAATCCTTTGTCATCAATTTGTTGTAAACATTTGTCGTAAACATTAAAACCTGAGACAAGCGCCAGCACTATCATAAACATTTAAAACTACAGAAAAAAGGGAAATGACAATTCTGAATGAACGCAAAGATTGCATCAAACAATAAAATATTCAAAAAGAAAAATGTCTTCTTTTAAAGTAACTTGATAATTTATAATCTTCATATTTAATCTTTAAATGTCGTCAATTAATCAAATATTTACAACATAATTAAAGTACGTCATTGTCTAGTACGCTTAAATCTGTTTACATGCAATATTCTACTAAAAATAAAGCAAATATGTTTACAAATCACCACAAGATGAAACAAAGTAAGTAATAAAACTTGAAAATTGCATTTAAATCAACAATGGCCTAGGAGAAATAAAAGTTTACGAATGTAAATTCAAGTTCATTTTATGAATGAAATTACACGGATTGCAAAAAAACGTCATAAAGAACGATACAAAAATGCTCACTTTGAATTAGTACCTGTAAAATTAATATAACATAGTAACATGTACATATATATAAAATCTTACGTCATACATTTCAGGCCAAATGAAGTGTCTTGTGCAAGTACGTTCTCTTTTTCGCATCACATTTCAAATAGCAATTGCAAATCTATTTATCAACTTTCACATAAAAATTTAAAACATTGCTATCTTACAAGTAGGACTTAACCAAAGAAAAGAGCATTTATGAAATCATCTCTTCAACATGTACGTATTGCGGCTAATTTACTTTTAAAAAATTGCAGATTTTATGTTGTACAAGTATTTTTATTGCCTCTAATAACAAAAAGGGAGAAAACGTAGGAATCCGTACTTCGTATACTTATTGCTCAGCTATGACCATCGTGAGTGAACTGGTTTCACAGTAATTTTTTCAACAACGTTAAAAAAACACAGGTGTTCCCAAAATCGTTTCAAAGTAAAAAGGTCAATGACCACGGCAAATGTTTTATAAACGAATATCTTCTAGATAAATGAGGCATCTTCATAAAACGTCACCATGGTTTGAGTGCTCACATTGTTTGGGAATTATGTTGCTTGGCTTTTGCACAGTTCTAGTTCATTTTTTGCCATTACAGGCTTTAAAAAAGCCCAAATGAAAATTCTTCGTGTTTCGATGTGAGCCCTGAAAAGAATTACTGCGTTATATTCATTAATTTGCCTACCTGTAAATTGAATTTATCGTAGTTCTCGTAAGCTTTTAAAACTGATGTACTCAATTCATAGTCGAAAGATTCATCGGTAGAAAGGGGACAAGTAAAGGGAACTAGGCATTCAGGAAGTTCACCAACAGCTATAGCCATGCCTCTGGTCAAATGTCATCTATATGGCAATGCAAAAACCACCAGCCTGGGTGGTTAGGCAAACACTTGATCACGACGTATCCTCCGGCTGGCACTGTTATCACATCTTTTTGCACTGTACTTTGGTCGATGTAGAGATCTTTGGGAGAAATAACTTGGCTGTAATTTTTATAGATAATGGTACTTGCTTTCGACAGCGACTACGGATAAATCATGCACGAGTGAGTTTTTCAAAGACTGCAACGAAATATCGCGGGTCTAAACGACGAGTGCTAATTGCTGTCTATGAAAAACTCGCAAGTGAATATTATACGTTAAATGCGTGAAAACTATTCTGTTACTAGCCAATAATATAATTTCAGATATATTTGGCAAGACTCTACTTCAGTCTTGCTTTGAAATACCTCGTTACGTTGCCCAACTTTTTACAAGCCGTAACCACAAAAATAGCGCTTAATTCCTGTAGTATTTTCATTCTTTGCAGTGTTTTGATTCCTTGTATTTCATGCGGTTGCATTTCTGGAAATCTTTGTTAAATCAAAATTGCCGTCATGTTTTTTATAAATACTGTCAAAATACTGTCATATTTTTCCATTTGTAAAACCTGCTCAATCATATCATACGTTAGTCAAAGCCCTGGAACATTGGGCTGCGTAGTGCTAGCAGCCACACCTCTCAGTTTTATAACTCGAAACACACAAATCACCATAAAAACATGATAGAATCAACTTTACCACTTTCATTGGTGTGAATGACTATCATTATCTTCTGGCACAAAAATGTCACTGCGATTCAACCAGCACTAGAGGAAGGAAAGTTTTAAGATCTCAAAGGCTCTTATTTATACCTGAAGGTCTTTTTCCATCAAACTATTACGTCATTACTATTTAATTATCTGTTTACTACATACGGTTAAGCGATATTTGTCTTTCTTAACTACTTCTTACTGATTTAGCTTAAAAAATTTGCCATTTCATTTTTGATAGGCATTAACTTTTTAAGTTTTTTACAATAACTTTTTTACGTTCGTAAAATTTACGAGTTAAAAGTTGAGAGGAGCGCCAGCAATATCATAAATATTTAAGACTAAAGAAAAAAGGGAAACTACAAATCTGAAGGAACGCAAAGAATGCATCAAACAATGAAATATTCAAAAAGAAAAGTCACTTGATAAATCATAATCTTCATATTTAATTTTTAAATGTCGTCAATTAATCAAATATTTACAACATAATTAAAGTACGTCATTGTCTAGTACGCTTAAATCTGTTGACATGCAATATTCTACTAAAAATAAAGCAAACATGTTTACAAATCACCACAAGATGAAACAAAGCAAGTAATAAAACTTGAAAATTGCATTTAAATCGACAATGGCCTTGGAGAAATAGATGTTTACGAATGTAAATTCAAGTTCATTTTATCAATGAAGTTACACGGATTGCAAAAAAACGTCATAAAGAACGATACAAAAATGCTCACTTTGAATTACTACCTGTAAAATTAATGTAACATAGTAACATATATATATATATAAAATCTGACGTCATACATTTCAGGCCAAATGAAGTGGCTTGTGCAAGTACGCTCTCTTTTTCAAAATCCCATTTCATATAGCAATTGCAAATCTATTATCAACTTTCAAGACAGAAATGTTTACGTTTTCCTTTGTTTGCCCAGACTGGTAAAAAGTTTAACAAGTTTTGGCAGAGTTCTCAATGGGATATCACATTGCGTATTTTAAGCGCAAGCCATCTTCCAAAGTAAAAATTTACATCTTTATAAGAAAAAAAATGCTTCAAAGATGTCTATTATCTTTATGCATCTTCTCTCTAATTCGAAATTGTATCACGCTTAAGTTGGCTGAACAAATGTAAAAGCAAAGGTATTTTTACAAATTATCAAAACGCCCAATGCTTAAAACTTTTTCTGAAATGCCTATCTCAGTTACCGTAGACAATCTCATGTCGAGTCGATGGTCCGAGACAAATTAAAACCAAACTTTACATTTATCCAACCAAACTGATGATGTTGTCATGCTTCTGTTTAACTCGATGCAAAACTAATTGATTCATCCGAACTACATACTGCTGATGTACAATAAAATTTACAAAGCAGCACTAAGCTTTAGCCAAGCTACACCAATAAAATAAAGCAAACTAAATGCAACATGGTGTTCACGTGCGATCAAAAAAAACACTGAATGAAAAATCTCTATTTTCTTAGCTTCGTGGAAATTGATGTAATATTATTTCCTATAGTGTAAGTGAGTTACTTACAAATGTTAAAAAAGGATAATATTTGGATAATCAACACGAAGTTTTTTCTCACAATCTTCTGATAGTTTGTTAAAACCAATAGTTAATTTGGTGAGTTTACTATTTTCTCTATTTAAAGCTTCCTGAATATACTTTGCACCTTCATCTTCTATAATGTTACCACTAATGTAAAGTGTACGGAGTTTGCAATTCGCATTTTTTAAAGCTTCACTAAAATATTTGGAAGCTTTGTTGTTTAGTATGTTGTCACTAATGTTTAATTCAGTGAGTTTACAATTCTTACTTTTTAAAGCTTCACTAAGATAATTTGCACCTTTTTCAGATATATTGTTATGACTAATACTCAATTCTTCAAGTTTACATTGCTCACTTTTCAAAGCTTCTTTAAGATATTTCGCACCTTGATCAGCAATTTTGATACTTTTAATATGAAACTTGATGATTTTACAATGGTCACTTTTTAAAGCTTCACTTAGATCTTTTGCACCTTCATCTTTTAGCTCGTTACCACTAACATCCAATTTTTCAAGTTTACAATGCTCACTTTTTAACGCTTCACTTACATATTTTGCACCAATTTCTGTTAGTTTATTGAAACGAAGATTCAATTCAGTAAGTTTACAATTCTTGCTTCCTAAAGCTTCACTAAGTTCTAAGGCACCCTGATCTGTTAATTCACTCTGTTCAACATCCAATTTAGAAAGTTTACAGTTCTCACTTTTCACAGCTTCACTAAGATATTTTGCACCTTGATCTGTTATTTTGCTATAACTAATACTCAACTCACTTAGCGTACGGTTCGCAATTTTAAAAACTTCACTAAGATATTTCGCATCGTCATCGGCTATGTTGCAATTACCAATACGAAATTTTCTAAGCTCACAATGTCCACACCTCAAAGCTTCACTAACACTCTTCCAAAAATGATGACCAAAAGTAGAAGATTCAATATAAAGAGATGTTACGTTATTCAAGTTTTTCAAGAGATTAGATTTTCCGAGTTGAAGAAAGATCAAGAAATGATTATCAAGAAATTTACATGAAGAAAACTTGAGTTTAGTTTCCTGTTCACATTCTGATAGAAATTCAAACAATGCGTTAAAATCAACAGGCGAAAAAGAAACATCACTTACAGAGATTTCTCTTTTGGTACCTGGCATGGAATCAAATTTCTTGCAAGCTGACCTCCTAACATCCTTGTCCTGTAACTCGTACAAGCACTTCATGCCAAGAAAACCAAGCGATTTATCGCCCTCATTAGAATATGAATAGGAGACCCACGTTTCGAATCTGCAAACGTGAATACATGTAAAATATAAACTGGTCGTCTTGTTGGAGGATGTTACAAGTTTGAGATTATATTTGCAAGTAAAAATATTCAATAAATTAGCGCAGAGTTCTCGTAGATTTAGACGTATTTCTGCTGTTACCATAAATCTTTAGGCAAGCAGAATACTACATGCCAATAAGTCTTTTAGAGATGTAATATAAAACGTAGCAAAGAGTGCAGTTTGTTAACTATAACAGGAAGTCTTGCAGAAAACAAGAAAGTATTATATCTTGTCAAGAAAACTTTAGTACAACCAAACCATAAAAATAAGGCATAGAGACGATAATAAACAATTATAGATCATTCTCGAAAACGCAATCACATACAACAATCAAAATTTTCAGACAATACCTTTCTTCTACTGTTGTGATATCTTTGCCCGCTTTCTTTATGTCTCTGACTAAACCAGCAACAAACTCTATCACCGAATGCCATTTAGGATCTGAAACATGATTATCCAAAAATTTTCCAACGTTTTGCCAATCGTCAACAATACACCAAGCAGCAAGAAACTCTTGAAGCGTCAAATGTGGAAAACCGTAAAGAGAAAGTCGTTTATGTGGTATCTTAAGAAAAATTCCACAATTTGCCAGTTTGTAAATGTCACCTGTACTTCTTTCTTCAATTCCCGTCTTTGCAATATTTTTTAATTTATCTATAAACTCTGTATTTCCTTCCTCTGTTTTGCAAAGAGGATGGTGATTCCATAGTAAGATTTTAATTGCTCTCTTGTACAAATCAGTAACATTCTTTGAAATATCATCAGTCTTACTTTCCTTCAAGGTCAGACAGGCAATGTAACTGTTAAAAGGTATGTAACAAATGTTGCGTAGTTCAAAAGAACTATAAATATGATCACAAATCTTTTGGGCTGAATTCTTGTCTTCACCACAAAACTTGTTGACATATTGCTTAATCTGATCTTCACAAAAGCCCAAGATCTCCACAGTCCTGTTAAACTCCAAAAGTTTAAATGCATGTTCTGATGTTGGTCGTGATGTTATGAGAACAGTGGCACCACGCAGCAGTTTACCTTCAACCAACATACTTATCCATGTAAACGCTGGCATTATTGCTTTTGGATGGAGTGAGCCATCAGTTTCAAGACAATCACTGTGCAAATATAATTCATCCAGACCGTCAATGATAAACACAGTTCTTTCTGGATTTGACATTATAAACTTGTAAATTTGTGAAAAATGTTCATCAGAAAATCCATGGCAATCACGTAACAAATTTTCCAGATTTATGTCATCCTTTTCAATTTCACGACATCGCATTAAAAGAAGCACTTTATCATACCAAAATTCATCTGTGCTTTCTTTCCATTCAAACATAAGCTTATTTGTCAACAGAGTTTTACCCATTCCAGGCCTTGCAATGACTAAGATGGAACGTGGATACAATGAATTTTGTTTATTCTTGTGTGGCTTAAAAATTTCTGTAGCATTGATTTTATGCCTTTCAAAAGTGTCGGCTACATGCATCATAACATTGAAATAAACCATATTTTTCAAAGAGTTTAAACCAATTTTGTCGTATGATTCAAACACTTTGTAAGAGTTTTTGACTTTGTCCAACCATTCGCGATTTTTTTTCCATTTTTCTAACATGTATTCGGTACAAAATTCTTTTTCTGTTATGAAACAACTGTTTTTGCCGGCCCTAAACATTACGTAACACAGCTCAAATGTTGTCAGTATTATCACAGTGAAATCAACGAATGCAACAATTTGGAACAATGTTTCAATTTTATCACCGTTAGAATTTTCACAATCAAGGAAAACGACTTTTTGTGAGATAGGAATATTTTCATTTAAAGAGAACTTGTCTTTCAGTTTAGGATGCCAAGCACATGCGTAATCGACGGGAAACTTCGCTGGGAAAAATTTGGCAGTGCAACTAAACAATATGATAAGGCAGAAAAACAAATATGCAACGTAAATGAAAAACGTAGGAAAACGGTTTGTCACATCACCAGACAGTGCATCAATACCAGCAGTATTAGACTTGTCCTTCTTAGTATCGAAGTGAGAAATTTCGGGGCTATCTCGATTTTTACGGTGCCGTAATGATGAATTACCGACATTGTGTTTACTTAACGGTGAAGTCGTTTTGTAAACACCTGGAAGAGATTCATCAAATCTTTGAATTCGACATTTTACCAAGAGTCCATAAATATTACTAAGAATTAGGACACCGCCAAAGTTTATCAAAATAAACAGAACGGACGAAATACTAAATGTCTTCTTGTACTGCCTCCAACAATCTGATTCGATATACTGCACGAGGGCTGCTTCTTTCGTCTTTGATATTACATCATTATAGCAATGAAATGAAGTAGCTCCATGCCAATATATTGAAAGACTAAAACAAATGGCTCCAAATACTGTAAATAACCAAAGCAGTACTTTTCCACGGAAGTTGAAGCTATTCTTAGGAATAACGTCAAGGCACTTTTCCATCTTTGTATCCTGTAAACAATAAGTGTTAAAACATGTATGGGCATAAGATGTATACAGTCGAAAGATCAGACACTGCAGAAGCTTGAAATAGGGCAATTGTGTGATGGGTATTTATTATAAAGGCAAACACATTATTAGTGGAGAAACCAGCATAGACATTTACTCCAACAATCTATGTATCTCAGCTAACTTTTCATGATAGAGCCATACAGCTATAAAAACCACTTATAACTGTAAATTTTTCGCTTTAAAATTTGAGTAAAACTAAAATCTAGGGCATATGCACTACACTGTTTTGACTACTGGATAAAGCCATTTTTTATGATCGCTCAAGACCTATGTTGTGACTAAATTACCGAGAAGCGTGAAGAAAAGGGCAATCGTTATCTGCTCATATCATTTCATACTGATGTGTTGTAATGCAACGATACGCCGATGGCTTTGATTAAATATAATTACTGAGCATGATGAGTGTTTTGAGGAAAGCTGGGCTTGAGCAGGTCGTGTCATAAAACGGAATACAATACATGGGATTTATACATGTATAATGCATAAATTAAACAGCACATTGATAAATCCAAATTAGTTTCATGCATTAATTGACAGGTACTTCATGGTCTCCTATAAGAATGGAATAAGGCCACTCTTAATTTTGTGAACGCAAACGTATTTAAGGCCCGTTTCAAACGTCGAAGTTTTCATGTGCCGAATGCATTAAGAACAAAAGATAATCAGTCGGGCACAAATGAATATAAGAATTAACACCATCTCGCCCGCCCGCCCCAGTTAACGTTCTAGGGAAAGTCCCGCTTAAATTGTTTCATTATGAAAATAGCTTCTGGTGTGTTTGAAATATTAGCGAAATTAAGTGACTTCACCCTGGTCTTAACCAAAAAACCCTTGCTAAGAAATTTAAAAAGCGATGCAATATGATAAAGAAAAATTAAAAAAAATTCCGCAGTTGTTTTTCACTTTAAGACACTTTGAAAACTTAATTTGGCATCAATTTTTTTCTTGAAAATCTCTAAGAGCACGCATTCAATACGTATATTTGTATATATATATAAGGAAACCTGGCGCATCATTTAATATATAATGAACTAAGAAAGGAATTTTGGAGCATATGAATGCAATGAATGAGATCATGTCATCAGATGAAACACAAGCTGTACTACTAGTAGATGCTACCAATGCTTTTAACACTATCAATCGGCAAGCAGCACTACATAACATTGCAATGATTTGTCCATCAATATCAACTGTACTAAATAATACCTATCAAGTGCCAGTTAGGCTATTTGTTACTGGAGGAGGAGAAATTCAGTCAGCAGAAGGGATTACACAAGGGGATCCGCTCGCAATGGCAATGTATACACTTGCAGTTACACCTTTGATTCGTAGGCTTAGATCAGAAGAACCAACTGTCAAGCAAGTGTAGTTTGCTGATGATGCTACATGTGGTGGGAAAATAAAGTCTTTAAGAAGATGGTGGCAAAACATATCTGACATTGGGCCAATGTTGGGTTATTTTCCAAAGGGAAGTAAAACGTATCTTGATGTTAAGTCACAGCACTTGGAAGAAGCGATAAACCATTTTGGAGGAACAGAAATTAATATAACAACTGAAGGCCATGGAATGTTGGGATCAGCAATTGGCTCCAATTTGTTCGTCCATGAGTATATGGCAAGAAAGATTAGGGTATTTGTGGAAGAAATTGAAAGTCTTTCAAAGATTGCAGAACGTTATCCCCAATCAGCGTTTGCGGCATTTTCTCATTGTATAATGGGAAAGTGGCGCTATATAATGCAAACAGTTGAGAACATCAGTGAGTTATTTCAACCTCTGGAAGATGCAATTTCGCAGACATTTATACCATCACTCACTGGAAGAAACCAATGCAATCCAGATGAGCGAACACTCCTTTCACTTCCTATACGATTTGGTGGTCTAAATATTATCAACCCAGTTAAAAGTGCAAATGAAGAATGTCTTGCTTCCAAAAAGATCAGCCAATGCTTGAAAGACATGATTGTTCAACAGAAAGAGATACTTCATAAACCTCAGTTACAGTCAATCAAAATGACTTTACGAGAGCAAAAGAAGAAGAAAGTGGATGATATGATCCAGGAAATAAGAGATAGTTATACGCCAACAATGCAAAGGAAGCTAGATATACTGAGCGAAAAAGGATCGTCATCATGGTTAAGTGTACTTCCATTACAAGATCAAGGCTTTAATTTGAACAAAGGGGAATTTCGAGATGCATTAAGTTTACGTTATGGATGGCAATTGAAAAATACCCCTCTGCACTGCATTTGTGAAAAGGCTTTTGCAGCCGATCACGCGATGATATGTCCTCATGGTGGTTTACCAATAGTGAGACATAATGAAGTTCGAGATATAACAGCACAGTGGATGGCAGAAGTTTGCTCGACAGTTGTGAAAGAGCCACAATTACAACATCTTTCTGGGGAAGTGATATTACCTCGTACAGCCAATAGACAAGAAGAAGCGAGACTAGATATTCGTGCTAAAGGTTTTTGGTCTAGACAGCAAGATGCATTTTTTGATGTAAGGGTATTTCACCCAAACGCGTCGAGCTACCAAAACACCAATCTACCTGCACTCTATCATCAGCATGAGATGGCTAAGAAAAGGGAATATGGTGATCGAGTAAAAGAGATTGAATATGCTGCTTTTACACCACTGGTCTTTTCAACATCACGTGGTATGGGGAAAGAGACTGCAATTGCTTATAAACGGCTAGCTGATCTGCTGGCACAAAAGAGAAAGCTGCAATATGGCATCACGCTAGCGTGGATGCGTTGTAAACTGTCTTTCGCACTGATTAGGTCAGCAATTACTGCGATACGAGGAAGTCGATCTGCCTCAACTCGTGAACATACTTTAAATATTGACCTAGGTTATTGGGAAAGTTGTCTTTACATTTGATTGTCCCTTTATCATGGATATTTTTAAACACTGATTTTAGTCATATTTGATTCAGTTTTTTAACATTTATGTTTGTAATAGATAATAATGATCATAATAATAAACAATTAACAGATAATAAAATATTAAAAAAAAAAAATTTGGAGCATATAAGGCGTTTTTTGATGTTTAACCTCATCTTCCGGTCAAAAAAGCACTTGGAATCTTTTAGTTTCAGTTCAAGTGAATTTGTTGATATAATGTTATGATCATATCTAGACAAGTTTACCCCTACATGTCAACCTATCGTAATTCACGACATCAGACTCTTCATGTCTATCGTACAAGCACAATATTCGGCTTGTTTATTGAGTTATAGCTATCCGCTCTAAAAACATTGTCTGACAGCTTTCTCTCAAAATCTGGCTTGATCCAAAATTTGAGGGTAAAAAATTTGCATATGAAAGCAAACGATATGTAAGACAACACATTACATTGTTGGCCTGCTCAATCACCATACACCAAGTACAATAAGTAGGAAATTTTAAACTTTAATATGGTCAAAGAATTTCCGTTTTTGTGCTTAAGACGGATATTACGTCTGGACGACTTAAGACAAATTTTTTAATGTGTCTCTTAAATCGTGGGAGGATAAAGATGGACATAAGACAAATTAAATGTCTACACGACATTAAATTAGAGTTTAATTTGTCTTGACAGATGTCTAAATTAAAGGAGCCGAGTTAAAATCACTTCCAATGTTTCTTTTAAATACAAGATAAGTCAAAACTTATCTGTAACAGCTTAAGACAACCTGGTAAAGATAAACTAAAACCAAGACAAAACCGCCGACTTTATTCACAAACACTGTAAAACGGATTGGTTAATATAACCATAAAAATTGGTTACCTCAGATGCATTTAACCACTTTAACCAATATTTTTATGGTTACCATAACCAAGCATATGGTTAACTTGACCAACAAATTTTTACAGTGAATAGATCGCAGTTGAATTGAATCGTAAAATTAAATTTTTAAGTCAAAGAGATGACATAGTAAGCGTATATTATCTTCTCTTTAATATATACTCGTAAATTGGCAAAGATAGACAAGTTGTATTACATAAAAGTCTTTAACCGCGATAATACAATTTGCGCTATATCGTTCAAAGTAAAATTCTCTTACTTTACTACTCAAGAACATGGCGGCGATCACATTTCTGGAAATTACCGGCGTGACTAAAAACTTCAAAGGAGATTTAATAGATAGCTGATGGATACCGCAAACTGTGTCTGGTTAGTTAGTTATTCTGTCATATGGTACTAATTTTAGCTTTTGTTTACTACAACTAGAAACAGGGTGAATAGTCTACGAATAGTTGAACAGTTATTTGATATTAATGAGAATGTAGATTTCTTATTAAGAACAAATTTTGATCTTAATACAAAACCTACTATCTCATTATTCAATCTCTTTCACGTGTAATTATGTATACATTACCAAAATATCAACAATCCGACTGTAGGTCTGTATAAGCACCTTCGTTTGCTTTTTATGTGCTCCTCGTGTTAAATACACAGAGCTTTAATTAAGAGCACTGTAGTGTATTGTATGTTTATAGGAAGTTTATTCTTCGGGTAAATTGGTCAGAATTAAATCAATACTCGGCATGCTCGATTTAGGAGCGACGCTTGCGTATACGTCTGCTATATCGTGTAAATTCAAGTTCATTACACCAAACTGACTAACGCGTTGTGTCAAACTAAGGTAACATGCCATAGCATTCTGGTTACTCACCGTTAGGATTATGAAATCAGAGAAAGAAAAACTTTTTGGATGTGAAAAGTTGTTGTACAAGAGTCACATACAATCATATGTAAACAGTTTTATTACATTCGCACTATTCGTTATGTATTCTTAGTATTCGTCAACTACTTTCACTGATTTAATTTCATCATTTGCCGGTATTTTCGAAACGATTGAGTAAATACTCAAGACGATAATTGTGTTCGAACAAAATGCGTAATTCTTGCTGCTTGCTGAGCCTTTGACGGCCTGAAAAGCGCGGAGTGCGATCACGGTAAAGCATGAAGAACGCGTCAACAGAGAAACGAAAATTCGCACTGACGATATCAGTTCAGGGCTGTAATTTGCTGAATTTTGACAAGATTTAGTATGACTGTAAATGATCGATTGAAAAGCATTAATAGTGAATCTATTTTAACTCTAAAATGCTTATTATCACACACGTGTAATCAATTGACTCTAGAAAATACATACTCACCAATATGTCCGATCTCCTTTACTCAATACATAAAGGATAGCTTATACCGGAGATTCTTCACAAAACACAGACTTCGTTTACTCTCCAACGAAGGGCAACAAGTGATGGAAACAGGAGTCACCCGTTTCGTTTTCTGTTCAACAAAATTCATGCGTGTGGGCAACGTCAATTCTATAAACAAATAAAATACTTGATAGCATAGTTTCTCGCGCGTGTCTCGCAATTCGAAGAAATTTGTGAAAGGGATACCAACTCGTCATGACAAAATTGCTTTACCACATACAGTTGAAGTATTTTCATGAATATTTCTTGAAATTTGGTTCGTTTTAATCACAATCAAATGTTTAATCACAAGTAAAATGAAAACATTATGTAACTATTAGTTATATTGACTTGAAGTGTTAAATTTCCAGCTGAATATTTCTAAGAAAGTGGACGATTCCACAGTCACAAACAGACAAAATAATTCGAGGAAAAACGAATTCTAAAAAAGTGCATTCATAGTATTGTACTACCATTTTGTTCTTTCTATGTACGGAGACTATATTTGACAAAAGAAACAAAAGAAAAAACTCATCTTAAGCAACGTCAAAATCGAAACAAAATACAATACCAAAATTAGCAACACGGAAGTACAAACACAAAGTATATTTGAGGAAACAGCACGTGCCGTGCGCAATGCAAGTACAAGCCTTCACGCGGAAGTATTCGTCTGGTTTGATGATTGTATCAGAAATATGGCGGCGAATAAGAAATTTTGGATGAAAATCTTCCACTTTGAAAATTTTGAAGAGTTAGCAATTGGAGTTATATTGGGGAAACATGGCACACTTCCTCGACGCCAGAATCTGACAACAACTTCGTGCATTTGCTGAAATAATATATAATCCGTTGCTTAATCAGTAAATTCCTACTTTATGATTATTTAGAAATATACCCATCACATATTGAAATATAGTATAAAATTTCACATCATACACATATCACTTCATTCACTATTCATAACTATCATTTATCACGCATCCGTCGAAAGATAAAGCTGGTTACGCGAAAGCCCGTGAGTAATTAATAAAAAATTAAAACGCAGCGAACATTGATTCTATTTATTATCATATGTCTAAACCTGATCACATTTCAGCAGTAGTTTTTCTATGAAAGAAAATGCAAAAAAAGTAGAACGATGGAGAATAATTGAAAAGTAAGAATTTGCATTAGGTTAATGATGAATATAATGCAACAATTTATTTTAGTAAAAATGATTACAATTGCGATGCATTTGCCATTTTTTAATAACAATGTAACGTAACAATGTAAAATAGTTTGATGAACAAACTTTGTTGGTAAAACTCAAAAAGAATAAAAAAACGTTAAAAGCTAGAATGTTTTTAAGAGTCAGCTATAAAATCAACTTCAAGGTTTTTTCGACCATTTTTGGACGGTTCGGACATTTTTTGGTTAGCGTATTTTAATTTGTCAGCCTGTGGCGAATTATAGTAATGGTAAAGCCGCCTGTAATGTGATGATGCAACATGACCATAGTTGACGCGACCATTTTTCATTAAGTTAAACATTTGTCGTCGCAAATTATGCAAATGCTTTTCATCTTGTTCGTGTACTGATTTGGACATACCCTCTTCACTTCTTGGAAATTCTCTCTTCACTGAAGAATGGGTTTCATCAAAGGACAAGGATCCGTCTTTTTCTTTGTCATTTTCACATGTCTCATATGGGCTCGACTGAAATATATTTAAAGAGGAAGAATACGGTTGAAGAAATCAACAAGAAACATGAAATGACGCAAAGGCAAAATCATTGCATTTTGTGGAGTGACTTTACATACGATATGACTATCATCACTTTGCATTAGTTAATTTACAATTTCCTCATAAAGTTTATGAAATAGTCATATAAAATATTTAAAACATTGCTATCTTACACGTAGAACTTAACCAAAGAAAAGAGCATTTATGAAATCATCTCGTCAGAAAGTATTGCGGCCAATTCACTTTTAAAAAGTCGCAGATTTTATTTTGTACAAGTATTTTTATTGCCTCTAAATAACAAAAAGGGAGAAAACGTAGTAATCCGTACTTCGTATATTTATCGCCTCAGCTATGACCATCGTGAGTGAGCTGGTTTCACAGTAATTTTTTCAACAACGTTAAAAAAACACAGGTGTTCCCAAAATCGTTTCAAAGTAAAAAGGTCAATGACCACGGCAAATGTTTTATAAACGAATATCTTCTAGATAAATGAGGCATCTTCATAAAACGTCACCATGGTTTGAGTGCTCACATTGTTTGGGAATTATGTTGCTTGGCTTTTGCACAGTTCTAGTTCATTTTTTGCTATTACAGGCTTTAAAAAAGCCCAAATGAAAATTCTTCGTGTTTCGATGTGAGCCCTGAAAAGAATTACTGCGTTATATTCAAAATTTGCCTACCTGTAAATTGCATTTATCGTAGTTCTCGTAAGCTTTTAAAACTGATGTACTCAATTCATAGTCGAAAGATTCATCGGTAGGAAGAGGACTGGCAAAGGGAACTTGGCATTCAGGAAGTTCACCAACAGCTATAGCCATACCTCTGGTCAAATGTGCATCTATATGGCAATGCAAAAACCACCAGCCTGAGTGGTTACGCAAAAATTCGATCACAACGGATCCTCCGGCTGGCACTGTTATCACATCTTTTCGCACTGTACTTTGGTCGATGTAGAGATCTTTGGGAGAAATAACTTGGCTGTAATTTTTATAGATAATGGTACTTATTTTCGACAGCGACTACGGATAAATCATGCACGAGTGAGTTTTTTAAAGATGCAACGAAATATCGCGGGTCAAAACGACGAGTGCTAATTGCAGTCTATAAAAAACTCGCAAGTGAATATTATACGTTAAATGCGTGAAAAACTATTCTGTTACTAGCCAATAATATAATTTCAGATATATTTGGCAAGACTCTACTACAGTCTTGCTTTGAAATACCTCGTTACGTTGCCCAAGCCGTAACCACAAAAATAGTGCTTGATTCCTGTAATATTTTTATTGTTCGCAGTGTTTGGAATTCCTTGTATTTTATGCGGTTGCATTTCTGGAAATCTTTGTTAAATTAAAATTGCCGTCATGTTTTTTTTTGTATAAATACTGTCAAAATACTGTCATATTTTTCCATTTGTAAAACCTGCTCAGTCATATCATACGTTAGTCAAAGCCCTGGTACATTAGGCAGTGTATTGCTAACAGCCTCACTTCTAGGTTTTATAGCTCTAAACATACAAATTACCATAAAACATAATGATATAAAGTATAAACTTTAACACTTTCATTGGTGTAACTGACTCCAAGATTTACCACTATCATTATCTTCTGGCATAAAAATTTCACTGCAATTCAACAAGCACTAGAGGAAAGAAAGTTTTAAGCACTCAAAGGCTGTTATTTATACCTGAAGGTTTTTTCATCCGTCCAATTTCCTGGACCACAATCCTTAACTGTGACATCCCTATTAGGCTCATTGATAAAGCCGTCTTGGTCGTACTTTGCATATCCTATTTTTGTAACAAAGAAAGAATGACCATGAAGATGAATTGGATGTGTTCTGCTTTCGTTAATAGAGTCGTCAGAAAAAGGATCCAAGGAAGAAAATACGAATTGGGTTGTTCTCTGCTCTGCATTTGATCGGTGAATATATACAGCATGTGGGCAGAATTTACACACTTCAGTATCATTATTGTACGAACTATTGTCCATAGTGTCGTATTTACATTCCATCGGAGGTCGTAGATTGACATCCGGGTTAGTGAAAGGAATAGAAGGAAGTTGAAAGTTAACACCATTTACCACCGCGTTACCTTTACGACGGAATTCGAAGTTGAAGAAATACTCATCAATCAATTTTTCATTTTTGGTGGGCATTTCGTCCTTAGGTGTGTGGTGTAAAAGTTGCAAACTAGTCACAGGTAGACAAAGGATTTCTTGAGAGGGGTAATTTTTGAACGGACAATTGATGGCCGTGCAAGAAATATCATCACACCGTTATTTTGGCCGTACACATCGATCAATTTTTTTTCTTTGCATAGATATTCGCTTTGTCTATACTGGAGATAGGCGAACCGAGTGTGATGGACTCCAGTTTTTCAATTCAACCCAATTGATTTGATTCGGATCGGATATACTTCGCAACATGTACTATCATCTATGGTCTTATCTTCAGGAGGAATCACCTCGATGTCGTATCTTTCCCCGACGTGAACAACCAATAATCGACAGTTTTTTAAGTGTCGAATACCCGTCCGCGGCAATAAAATTTAATTTGTGCCCGTCTATGGACAAACGAAAAGCGTTCGCAAACATAACACCAATCACGCGGAACCGATATCTTCTTTTATATGTAACATAAAATAAGGGCGCAAATTGGTTGCTATTTAACTCGGTACCCAATTCGTACTCATTTATTCGAATAGAAGTAATTTCTCCAAATAACACAGGAGGCTTAGAATGATCTGGTTCGCAGTCTGGCCAATTGTCCTTTATAACTTCGCCTTCTCTTATGGCAATAACATTTTTATCTGGTTCGTCTATAATGTCTGGATAGTCTTGAACATGTGGCAATACTATTAAGACACCATAAATTCCTTTATCTCGTTGATCTTTGACGTGTGAGTGATACCAATGTGTCCCAGCAGGCCAGGCCTTGAACACATACCTTTAAAAATACAATCATGTTATAACAGTAATAGTGAACAAGTAACAATTGTCTACTGAGAAAGAGGGAAACACAGCACTCAAAAGTTCACAATTATACAAGCGAAAACTGAGTTTGCAACAACGTGAATAAATGTAGTGGCGATTATTTAAAGATAACTCAAAATAAATTACTGACCTCGGAAAGTCTTGGAAGCAATATAATACTTGTATATTTGAGTTTTGTTCTAAATTTATTTTAGATTTAAAACTTGAGAACAGTGGAAACCGAGCAAACTCAAAAAGTGGAGTGGAGGAGAAGGGCAACTAAAAAGGGCATTTATATCTTGCAATTCATTCATTTCATTAAAATGCACCAAAAAATACTCTATAATTCCTTTTCAAAAAGCAATGAGCAATCTCATCACGTTTGTCGTTGTCTTCAATCTCTTCTCTTTAGCAATGCGTTTGTACAGCTCTATTTCTGTTGGTTGAGGTCAAATAAAAACGGCTAGGTCTAGCACGATCTTCAACGCACTGTCAATAATTTGCTTTAATTTGCGTTGTCATGCAAAGCTAAATCAAGGCTGTAGTTTGTGCAACAATATTTGTCTCACATGTGTAAATTAGGTAAAGCAATCTTTTCATTTCGAAATTCAAGAAATTTAATATGGGCAGTGAAGCGTTTGAAAAGAACTTTCCTTTCGTTAAAAGGCTGTCTAAGAATAAATTAAATATTTGCTTTCGAAAAATAATGCCTAAATAAAGCAGCTAATAAAAAAATACAGAGTACCTTTTAAATAATTATCGCGCTTTTTTGGTCGAAGTCAGACGCTGATCAAAATATTTGTAGGTAAACAGCTATAATAATCTTTTCAATTACACATAACACACCCTTCACAAATAGAAGAGCAGAAAAAAGAACTTCTAAGTTTGAAGGAGTAAAATCTTCTACTTGCACTACGAGGTATTCGGAATGTTACAAAATTTACACTAATTACGACGATTTCTCAAGTCTTTTTTGATAAATTTCTCAGAAGCGAGTCAATCAACGTCCATATATTTTCGCATCGTTTAGTTTATCTAAAAGTAAAAACAATCAAAAAAATTAATCTCGAAAACCGGAAAAGTGGTTTGTAAAGACGTCAATTTAAACCGCTTGCGCAAACAGAATGAAATGTTTGAAATTTAATTTCATTCGATGAGGCATAAAAGTTTAAATTCTGTTGTGCCTTGAAACAAAATTTTGAAAAATTTGAGAAACATTAAGTTCACCGCAAACCTGTCTAAACTGGACGTTTTTGAAGTTTCTTCATTTTAGTCAAACTTGTTGCTTTTACAAATTAAGTCTTTATTGTTATTTACGTCAAATAATCAATCACTCACGTAATCACTCTTAAATAAGAAAAAAGTACATAAAAATGGCGTGAAACACAAAAAAGTCCAATTTAGACACATTGCGCTGTGAACTTAATGTTTCTAAAATTTCTAAAATTTTGAAACAAGACAGAACAGAGTTCGAACTTTCCCCTCATTGAATAAAATTAAATTTTAAGCCTTTCATTTTACTTAGGCAAGCGGTTAAAATTGAGGCTTTTAGCCTTTTACAAACCGCTCTCCCGGTTACCGAGATTAAATTTTTAGATTGTTTCAACTTTTATATAAACCAGATAATGCCAAAACACATAAACGATGACTCATTTCTGAGAAACTTTGATGAAATGATAGTTTTCAGGACATTCTCAAAGTGTCTACATTTTTTTCATACACCGGCCCTCACTCTCTTTTACCCAAAATTAATCTTTTCTTTCCAACAACAACTATTTCATACGAACCTTAACGCTTTTGATGGCCTGATGGGTTCTTGACTTATGTGTGCAACACAGTCCATGTAAGCAGTGTTATATTGGTGAATGCCATGCCAGTGAATCGATGTATTGTTATTTTTCATGGAGTTGAACACATCAACGACCATGTAAGTATCTATCTTTGCAATCAATGTCGGACCCATTTTCTCATTGTTGATAAAGTATACATTGTTGGAATCCTCGTCAGTATCAACTGCTAATGGGTTTCTAGTTATATTTAACTTGAACATGCAATTTCCGACGCCCAGTTTCGTGCAATCACATACTGAAGGAAGATGATCTTTTGCTGGCGTACACTTGACATATTTACTTGCCGCATCCATATCAAAAAACACTTGAAATGTGAACACGAACAGAGTAACGGATAGTAAAATCTTCCCTAGTTAATAAAAGAATTCGCGCATCAAAACTGCTAAGTGGTGGATTGAAAGGAAAATATATAAATGTCATGAGCAACCAATCTTAAATACTGACTCAAGAATATTGATAAAAACGTTCTTATTGTATTACAGAATAAAAAGTTTAATGTTAGACAAACATGATAGAATAGACTAACAGGGGCAAGTTCTTTACATATTAATATGGAAAAATTTCATTTCAGAATATCAAACGTAAAATTTCCATTGAAGTATCGAAATTAAAACATATTTGTCGGTCGTTTTCTTTCCTGTAAGGGCCAGCAGTTCTCTTACATGTAATTCAAGAGCGGATCTAGGATATGTCAAATCAGCCACCCGACTGATGTTTATAATTCAAAACTTATTTATCAAATTTAATGATTACAGTTTTTTGTGATCATTGAATTCCCGATGTATAATCGTATGAATTTCATTGTCAAAACTCTGTTTTATATCTGAAGTCTTTCGTAAATATCACGTTGGCAAACAGATCAATAGATTTTAGCATATCTGGAATTATATATTAACTGACTAACTGATAAGCGGGGTGGCTCGACTGGTTGGACCGATAACGGAGTTCAAAATATCCATCACTGTTCCGATAACGGAGTTCAAGATATCCAAGACAGTTCATAGATGTGAAAAAGTTCAGATTTCAAACGATGCAAGTTTTTTTGTAACCCTTTACCCATATCCAGATCAGTGGACGATCTATCAGGAAAAAATTTTGAGTTTTTTCTCAAAAGGTGAATTTCCTGGCACTGTATGTGGATATGGGTAAAGGGTTACAAAAAAACTTGCACCGTTTGAAGTCTGAGCTTTTTCACATCTATGAACTGTCCTTTGTAATACCTTATTTCTAACTCAACTCATTACATAGAGTTGTGAATGGGGGTCTCTAGGGGGATCTATGCATTTCTTAAGGTTTATTATATGGCATTATTTGAACAAAAACGAAGCTTGCTTCTTTCTCGTCCTTGCTATTTTGTACGGGTTGGCTTTCACTTTTACAGTTTTCGTCAATAAAAATTAAATCATTTCTAATTGTATTGTCTGGAAAGTTAAACTGTTTTCCCAGTGTTTTCCACTCTACTCACATTCGTAAATGGTATTTTGTTTCGTTTAATTTGCGTTTTACATTTGATTACATTGTTTACATTTGACTGTAAAATTAGGCGTTTTGGACCGTGGTCGATTACCAGAAATTAATCACCGGCAATAATGTTTCGGAGCCAAGCAAAGCGCGCCATTTTCCCAGATATGACGTTTGCCATAAAATAATACCATAGTATTTAGATAGCTCAGTCAGAAATATTCAGATAACTCATCTGCGCATGCGCAGTCTGATTCAACATGTGCAGTCGACATGAGCAGTTGGTCAAGTACAAAGTCATGGCAACGACCAACTGCATCTACTAGCACCAATTTTGAAGTAAATAGCATGCTTAGTAACAATTTAATAGAGAAATCGTCTGCGCATGCGCTCGAGCATGCGCAGTCCACTCGAGTAATTGTTCGTAGTCATGAAAACGACCAACTATATGTACTTGCACTACATTTGTGTCAATTAACTCACTTAGTCGCAAATTATCAAAGAAATCATCTGGGCATGCGCAGTAACGATAACAATTATCCCACAACTGTCGTACGCCTTTAAATTTTGGTATATATATATAAAGCTAAAACTTCATATAGTAGATGTCAACTAGCAGTGGAAGCTGTGTGCGATATAGTATGCAGTGGCTTAGGAGCCCACACTTCGGTGGCGACCGCACTCTCCCTGCGTACCCCGAGCAAAGCCTATCGCAGGTGATCTCGGGGTCTGATGGGCGGAAGCTTGCTATTGCATCTCCCAAGTAGGATAGCGTGGAGGGGCCGAAATCTCCTACCGAAACGTTAACATGCGGCGTTCTAGTGCCTTACGCTTAACAAGGTATCGGGAAGCATGGACCGAAAACGGGGTTTTTTGCTTTTGAATTTTATCTTTTTGTTCTAGCTTGCTTCTTTCTCGTCCTTGCTATTTTGTACGGGTTGGCTTTCACTTTTCACAACAGAACAGTGGTCACAATTTAGAAATGGAGAAAGACAAAAAACAAACTTTCCTTAGAGGTTTGGCATACTGAAGAAATACCCATAACGTCTTTCATTGAAAAATTTGTACGAGAACTAACATCTGTGAAGGATTTCCGCTGCAAATGCTGCTTTACAAGTGATGGTAAACAAGCAGTCCTTGTATTCTCTTTCTGGATAGATTCTTATGATAAGAAAATGGGTATTTGTCTTATTGATGCGCATTCAGCCGGTAGTGTGAACCCAATTTTTTATATTTTGCCAGATATGCCAATCGATGTCTTTGTATATAAATCATGCTTCATTGGAATAAATTCGCTTTGCTTTTTGACTGCTATGGATTTAAGGAGTGGTAAAACATGTGGTCAGATTAAAACACATGAGAATGATCGTCTTCCTCTTATGATATACACGCATTCCGAAACAGGAACTGTCGCTGTATAACAAAGGCAAAATTCAATAAACCCAGCATTGAAATTAAGTCAATGTTCCTGGATAAAACACTATAAATCACTGTCTCACATTGGTCTTTCTCAACTAATAATAATCACATTGACATTACCTTAAAAGATAAATTATTCACAACAAACATAAGTTTTCCTTATTTGACAAATGGACAGTTAATGAAGCTGTAGACAAGAAAGTGAAAGATATGACATATACAAAATGAACGAGCACACCGTTTCCCAGTCTATCATTGACGCTCAAACCTTCTTAAATGAAAAACTTTGGTAAAAACACCAGTAAAATTTGGCCAAAGGCAAGTTGAATGTTGCGAACTTAAGAAATGATGAAAAACAGTCGTGATTAATAACCGCGTAGAAACACTGTTGTTTACACACAACTTTCTATAAAAATAGACATGTTTGATGTTGCCACATCTCATAATTCTTAAACGAAAAAACATGTTTCTTTGAATAGGGGAATGGAGTTTTTTAGAGTGAACTTCATCTTTTATTTGGTGGAACGAAATTCGCCATCATAAAGTTGGGTAGTATTATGTACAATTCTAATGTTAACTTGACAATAAACATCCTGGCTACTGATGATTTTTTAATACCATTCTACTTTTAGTCATGCCAATAGAAACTGTTAAAATTTTATTACGTGATCGCTATGCGATTTTATGATTTGTTCATGCAAAGTATTGTCAATCTTCGTGTATAGAGCTGCGTGCTTTTGGTTCCGAAAGTCCGTAAATTAAGTATGCCAAAAAGGTAATCAACAGTTCTGATAAATAAAGAGTAGCTTCACGTTTTTGGAACTGAAGCTGTTTTTGGACGTTGTTCATCAAATCAATCACATCTGCATCTAAAGCATTGAGCGTTAAAGTTGCCAATTTTGTATTTCTCAAAACTGGATGTGGTTGTCCGATAATTTTTCATAAAGTTTTCGACCTTTTACTCTTGCAATAAATTAAAAGCGCGTGGAAGAGCTTCCATTGCATTTGATCTCAATCACTTTAGCAAATATTACCAGGAAATGCTAATGAATTTCTTGCAAATATTTCAGGATATTGACATGCATCTAATGCAACAGAGACGTCTTCACATGTTACAGGATGTTGTAACTTTGTTGAAATAAAATTGCAGGTGCATCAGATGGGATGGTTACCAACAACAGCACTTGCAAGTTTCTTGAAAGTGCTGTTGTTGGTAACCATCCCATCTTATGTTACACACCATATTTTCGGACTAGCAGCAATGCCTTCACAAGTGCAATGTTGGTCAGCTGTGCCTGTACAATTAAAGAGGATTTGCCTTTATGGAAGTATACAATTTCCTGTTTCCAATGACTCTGTAATCATAAAAGCATGAAAACAAAGGCTTTAGATGTAGCAAATCCAGGTACCTCTGAAAGTTCACAATCAACAAAACCAGTGTTATTGTTTTTTGGCTGATTCCTACTGGACCGATTTAGAGATGACCATTACATCTAAAACCAGGCAACAATATTTCTTTTCTTCGTCCATTTTTTCTTGCTCTTCCAAAGTATGAAATGACATGCTGATAATACCTGGTTCATAAATGATGCACGTTGCATACCCATTTGTACATTAACGATGGTTGTGAAAGAGGTATAATGGATTGGACATGCACGTAGACCCTTAAAAAAAACTTAATGTTAATGCAAATTCCTTTGTGGCATTGTTTTATCTTTTAGTGGTTGGTTTGATTTTTGAATTTTAGATCATGTTCCTAAATACTAATCTCTTGAAAACATTGGTTATTGTTGAATTATTATTCAAGGTGCTAACATGTTCTTTCATGTTCTTTAGATTTTTTTCTCCCCCAAATTTTTTTGGCAGTAATTAAATTGTTTTATTTTCTTTTGGCATTGCATTTAAAGTTGTGACAACAACTTACTTTGTATTTTGGGAGTGCTACAACTCCTTGAAATTGTCATGAATATTAACTTGAACAGGTAGGTTTTGCTCATGATGTACTGTGGCAGTAAGTATAGTGAAAGGCATGCAACAGGTAATGAAGACAATGCTTCGACAAGTTCCACCGATGAATCTGAAAGTTTCATGTCAACAGAAAGGGAGGTTGAGATTGAAGTAGAGACTGATCTTTGGATACCATTAATAGATAAGGCAAGAGAAAGAAGTAAATTAGATTTTGATGAAATGAAAAAAAAACTTTTTGAACAGGGGTACAGATGAGCAGTCAGCTGAAGATCCAGCATCTTCTAACATTCTACTAAAATTACAAAAAGAACTGGAAAGCATTCATTCACAACGGCTTATGTAGATAAACAAACTGAAAAAAGATCCCATCCATAAAAAAATAATGCATACGAAGAAAGCGTTTATAGAAAACGACGACTTCGATACCCAGGAAGCTCTGGAAGCAGCAGTTGATAAGAGAAAGTCCCTTTTAAAACTTTTAAAAGAAAACAGCCTTACTGACACTGTCAATAATAAAGAAGAT